CAGACCCTGATTGAAAAGGTCGGAACGACACCGCCGCTGGCGAAACGCATCATCGCGTTGGACCATGACTATGACGTCGAGGCCCTGGCCAACGGACTCTACCCCAGAGTCCCGGTCTACCCTCACCTGGCGGAAGCCGAGGTCCCAGAAGAGTTCGAGATCATCTACCACTACACATCGTGGACGGCATTGCAAGCAATTATTTGCACCGGTATTTTCCCGGGGGTCACCTCATGCAAGGGTCATGTCTACATGACCAGGTGCACTCCTGACTATCAAGTCTTGGAGCGCTATGAAACTTCGGGCCTCACCGAGCTGAGAGAGATGTTTGCCGACCAGTAGGACCAGTGGAAGGATGTGGTGATGCTCAAGCGCCCCTTGATCTACAAAGAGGTGAATACCCCCTACGAGGTTGTCGACGAGCTTCTTCCCAAGAACAGGCAGAGGCCTCTCAATTTTACCAACCTCTTGTGCGTGGCCAGAAAGCCCACTGTGACTGCAGCAGGCTTCGACATGGCTCCGGACAACGCGCGGGAACGCCGTTCTGATTGATTTGATCAGGAGGCTTTCAACCCGACCGCGGAGGCGAACCTCACGCGCTGGCGCTATGCGTCGATTGTGATGTTTAAGGTCTTCCCAATAGGAAGTCTACCATGTGGGGAAGTCTACCATTTGGGGAATCTATGAGGAATCTGTTTGATTTTTTTCGATCCCCTTGAGCAAATCCAACTTATTCTTGAGATCATGGTAAAGAGCCTCCTGAACCTCCCTTTTTAGCATGTGAAAAACCTCCATGGAAAATGGCCGGCCGGAAAGTACCCTCCATTAAACTAACATAGCGAACTGGAACATCACCATGTTTAATAGGTAAAACATCGAACTATGTGCCATTTTCCAGTTCGCAAAGTCTTGGTTTACCAAAGGGTATATCACTAAATTTCACTACATCCCATTTCTTACTGGTGCTTAGCAGGGAATTTTCGGGAATGATCCATAATCACTAATAATAATCATCCCAGCAACCCCCATTCCCATCCATTCCCTACGTTTAGCACCAATAAGCTATTTCAAACCTTAGTCTCTTAAAATTTGGATTCCTGTTGATTTCATATGTCCAGGGAAAGAACTATGGAAAGAACTATGTAGAAATCCGTGGAAATAAGGGGTGTTTCCACTAAAAATGTCACCCAATGAAGAAACCCACCACTTTGAAAGAAAAACGCATTGCTCCAAGTTCTTGGACAAAAAACCTTTCAACATCAAATTAGATGTTACATACAAACTTCGTATTTGAAAATATTGGTCCGTAAGTTGGAAAGTATACAACAATATACAACATCTGTGTAATTCGGGGCCCCATATTTCTTCAAAGAGGAGAACACCAAAGAATGCATGTGCGCAAGCTCCAACTAGAAAAAAGAACTCATAAAAAACAATATTACGATGTTACCCTGTATACTGTAAAATTGGTTAACTAGTGCATTCATGAGTGTGTGTATGGCTGTGTGCTCATGTGCATGGATGAACTGCAAATGCAAATCCACAGTTTTTGAGTATTGTTTTCGGTGCTGCGAAGACCACGGTAAAACTTAGGTAAAACATGGTGAAACAAATTTATCAACTGCAAACGGAATGCTAATGAATTTAATTTGTGTTCCCCTACGTATTTGCAGCAGATCAAAGATGTGTTACTGTATTTCTGTCGCTACATTGTTGTGCATTGGTCCGTAGCAGTGTTGCAGTAACAGATTACAATCACTATAAATATGTCATTTTATCCAAATATAACGCTTAAACTTTATTGTTGCGTTTTATACAAACAAACCCCGTATATATACTTCCAAACTTTCAAACATACACGAACAAACAAGAACATATAACTCATCTAAAAACTCAAACAGTCTTATATAAATCATAAATACAAAGCAAGTAGAGTAAAGCAAACATCAAAATATACCTATAAAGTTAAACAGTTGAAGTCAAATCGAGAAGTAAAGTCAAAATTATGTTACAAGTTAAAGGTTCTAAATTTTAGTTATAAGTTGTAAGTTCAAAGTTAAAAGGTTACAAAATTATAAGTTACACAGTTTTTAGTGTCAAGTCATAACTAGAAGCTCTAAGTTGTAAGTTAACAGTTATAACAATGTGTTTCAATTTTAAAACAGTTCCTAACCTGATAAATTGATTTATTGGAGTTTGATAGTCAAGAGTTATGGATTATGAATTGTATTTTACAAAGTAGCTATAAGCTACAAGTGTGTATATTTGGTTTATCAAGTTATATACAAGTATAAAAGTAAGTTAACATATAAGCCATTATTTGGGGTTTGCAGAACGGTTCGGAACGGTTCCGGAGATTTCCCCAGAACGGTTCGGAACGGTTCCGGATACTTCCAAAACCTCAGAACTATTTAGAACTATTTAGAACGGTTCCGGAACGGTTCCGGATTCAAAGCCTATAGACCCCAGAACGGTTCGGAACGGTTCCGGAGACCTCCATATAATAGCATATTTTAACTTGTATAATAGCATATTTTGACTATATAATTATTTAACTTTAATACATAGAGTTTGAAAACATAAACAAATACTAGTACCATAAGCAATGATGATTCGACACAAGCGATACTTTCAAACGGATACATTTCAATACAAACTACACAGTTGTATGATTTTGTTAGAAACAAATCCACAGAACAGTTTTCAAGACAGGTAAGATTTTGAAAGGGGCCACGCCTTCCATGAACAAACAACTGAGAAACTTCCAGCCTTTTGTAGTCTACATCCAGTTTCACCTTCTCCCTTGTGCTCAGCATGCCTTTGCACTGCCTGTTCAAAGACTTACGCAGAGAAGTTCCCTTCCCTTTGTCGTTTTTCTGACTCCTTTCTCTTGTAGCCTTGGCCCTTGGAGCCACAGGGCGGCTCTTTGGAAGGTTTTGAAAATGCGAAACAGGAGGAACTGCTCTTGACCGTTTTTTGGGGGGGCTTGGAAGCTGTGGAGAAATATTTCCGTGCAAAGTTGAGGTCTGCAGAACCGTTCCGAACCGTTCTGGAGGTCTGCAAAACCGTTCCGAACCGTTCTGGAGACCTCTGCGCTAAGAAAATTGTCACGTAAATTGGTTCTCTGTGCCAAGAATCCCGGGAGTAGGAAGGCACGGACAAGGTTGAGCCATTCCGGATGCATGAGTCCCAACCTGAAAGTAACCCATCATCACCCTCAAGAACCCCACTGCTAGCGCTCTATATATATACATATATATATATTCTGAAAAGTATCAAATCATGGTCCAAGAAATTATCGGCAGCTATATACAATATAGTTTGTTTCTTGTATGGGTAGTAGCACGGTAGTAGCAACAGTCTTGCCAGAGTGACAAAATACCAACAATATAGCCTGGATGTTGCACTGCTACCGCTACTGCATATTTTTGATCCAGTCCAGAACTGGTGGGGAAAAAGACAGCAATGGGAATGCAGCCAACAACCGCATTGCCTTTGTTCTTTTTTTGAAAAGGGAAGTCACATAATCCCAACAGCCTGAACACATTGCAGAAGCCAGCTCAGCGCGCCCAAACACACATGGACTGCCTTCCAAATAATTGAAATTACATATTGATAGAATTCGACTTCAGCGCCTGTTCCTTCCACCTAAGTATTTCTCCAATTGCGCTTAAACCGCCCGAATCTTCCCTCAAACAAATGCAGCATCATAAATTAAACCCACTATCTGTATGCGGGTTGTGCATTTATTCAAGGTTTCAAGTATTTGGGGCAAGGTTGTTAAGTAATCAAAGCTGAATTTAGCCCAGTCTCACACTTGAAAACAAATTAGCTGCAAATAGAATTCCACTTCGGCGTTTGTTTCTGTCGCCTGAGTATGTCTCCCATCTTGAAGAAAGAGCAAACCATACTTTCACCCAAATGCCAGCCCCAGACTAGAATTTGGAATGCATAATCTACTTAAGCGCAAATAGAATTCTACTTAGGCGTCAGTTTGTGACGCCTAAGCAAAATTCTATTTGCGCCTAAGTAGATTATGGATTGTGTTTTCCAACAGCCCCAGACTAGATTTCTATTTGCGCATTATGACTATGAATTATGTCGTCCAACAGCCCCAGACTAGAATTTGGAAGACATGGTCTAATTAGGCGCAAATGGTAATAGAATTCTACTTAGGCGTCAGTTCGTGACGCCTAAGCAGAATTCTTTTTGCGCCCAAGTAGATTATGAATTTTGTCTTCCAACAGCCCCAGACTAGAATTTGGAATGCATAATCTATCTGGCGCACATAGATTTCTACTTAGGCGTGACTTCGCGACGCCTAAGTAGAATTTTATTTGCACCTAAGATTACCTAAGTAGATTTAGTCTTCAAAAGAACGACCGAAACATAAGTTCACCCCAATCTCACAATCAGAATTTTATATCTATAGACTGTGGAGCAGATAGGTATAAAGTATCCATGGCAAGTTTTTGTTATTAGCAAAGCTGAATTCATCACCGGTCCACAATACAAATTCAATTTAGGTCAATTACTTCACGACTTTGAGTGCAAACCAAGATTGATGAATCTGGATGTGTCCTCGCTGTGTGCATTGTTTTGTTTCTTTACTTCTGCAAAAGCTTGCTAAATTTCCCTTGACATTGTTTCTAACATCACCTTCTATAAGATATCCTTATTGCCCTGGTTTCTTCCATAGTCCCTTCCATAGTTCCCTCCATGGTCCACAAGGCCCACAGGTTAAGAGGCTAAAGTTTGAAATAACCAATAAGATTCAACCCATCCCATTCAACCATGGTTGGTGGTTTGGAACATGAATTTTATGACTTCCATATATTGGGAATGTCATCATCCCAACTGACGAACTCATATTTTTCAGAGGGGTAGGGCTCAACCACCAACCAGAACCCAGTTGATTTACCCATTGAAAATGGTGGACCTGCCATAGTTTTGTGACACTTTACCAGAGGGTATCACTAAATTTCACTACATTCAATCCAGTAAGATTAACCAGTAAGATTCGACCCCATGAAACCTCGACCACTAGGAACAGCTCTACATCGCAGAATCGACCTGCGACAAGCCCAGCTCCTTTGCTTTGTCGCCACGCAGAGCACCTGGGATCCGAAAAATCATCGAAGAACAATTTCCATGGTGGTTGGACCGTTCAACCCAACCCAAATCACCAAAAAAAATGGATTTCACCAACAAAACTCATCAAAGAAATTTGATTTCGCCCAGTTTTTGTTGGGAATTTGCCAAGATTTGATGTTGACACGAGAAAAATTAGATTTGACCAACAGGAATGGGGATGTTTGCCAAAATGAACTCACCAAAATGTGCAGGTTAAACCTTCGCTCATTTCCATGGAGCCATCAAAAATGGGGATACTAGGTGCTAAGCAGCCACAAGTGGAGATTCAATGAGCAGTCATAGTGCATCATGTTTTGGGTGCTTACTAATACCAATGGGTGATGGGGTGTGTGAATCAAGAGAAAGTGTTTTTTTATCAAAGCGTGCATTGAAGTTCAAATTTGAGAAACAAAGAGAAACAAAGGTGCCACTTCTTCTCCCAAGATGAAAACAGTAGCGCTTTCGCTATGTACTTGCAATCTGTTTTAGCAATCCTCTGAACGTCTCACGAGCTTTGTTCGTCAACTGTGTTCGTTGCTTTTGACCTATATCGATGTTTCTGTTGTTTCACTGGTTGGTGGTTTGGAACATTTTATGACTTTCCATATAATGGGAATGCCATTATCCCAACTGACTAATATTTTTCAGAGGGGTAGGTCAACCACCAACCAGAACCCAGTTCTTCATTTCATTGGTCTTTATCCTCGTGATTGTTGTTTGCATGTTGTAACCCTATTTTCTCTCTTCAGATCCGATGTTGGTTGCTTAAACTTCCCATTCTCGTTGAGAAATCTCCCCATATCTTCGTTGATGGGTGGAAATTCCTATATCTTTGGATGGTGACTCTGCCATTTTTGTTGGTCGAAAATCCTTTTTGTCGAAAACTGTGTAAACTGTGTACGTCCCATCGGTGAGACTTCACCATCGCAGTTGAACGATGGCGCAGTGAGCGCCAACTTCGAACTGCAAGCTCCGGCAGTGGCGGGAAGCTTCGTGGTGTGTTGGACACGAGGTGGGGATCATCCGCTAGGACTGTGGCATCCACTGCTGGATAGCTTGCGTACCCTGCGAGATCATTTGATGGGTCCTATAAGTGGTTGAACTATCATAATATATCATGACCATATATTTCAATCATAAAATATTCAAATGGGTCTTGAACTATGGTAATCACCATTGATCATGATATATTATGATTAAAAATGGTGATATCCCCATGCTCAAGAATCCTGCAAGTCTCTGATACGTGGGGCTATCACGGTATTATCATGTTCAAAAGTTGTCGTTGAATGGTATAATGGGTCATAACATGTCATAACTATGGTTTCCTCGTTCGGCTATGACTAGTGGATCCTCCAAGAGAAGTGGCTTCATTTTTCAAAGGTGGATTATTTGCTAATGGAGGAAGTGCTTTTTCGGTTAGCCACGGGCCGTAGGCCCACATTTTTCCAGGACTCAGGATGGCTGTGGATGGTTTCACCAGCTCGCAATGTTGGTCACTTGAATGGTCATTTGTGCCTCAGCAATATGAATAGTTACCCCAAATATGAGCAACTGGCGACAGCAAAAAGGCAGCAACACCAGCCTGAGGAAAAGTTAACGAGTAATGAATTTATCCACGAATCCCTATGAATCAGCCCATGTTATAGCGAATCTTACGCTAACTACGGTATTTCCTTTAACAGGGTTCTGGATCCTGGAAATTCCGCCGCAGTTGGCCAAATTCCGCAGAAGATGGGCGAAGGCTTTGCGCGTGAGTCCGAGTCCCCAGGGTGCTCCGATTTGATGGTGGGATCCCAGCATCTGGATAAAAGGCGGATGGTGGGAAGTTTCAGGAGATAGAACACAGGAGGATGTTCAATGCAACAAAAATCAACAACGCTGTTCTTGTTGTAAAAGGGATTGAATCAACTGCCTGTTGTCCAACCACATCACTGACTGAAGTGTACCTTGAGTAGTGAGGTGTACTGTTTTAAGGCCTTTGCCATTTTGACCACGCAAAAGTCATCCACTCCGGGGGAAAGAAACGGAAAAATGCCTGGCAATTCTATCATCGTTCAGTTGGCCGGATGATCATGACATAGAAATTACCGAACCGTGTCCATGCTCGATTTGACCCTTTGATGTACCATTTCTGGATTTATCACAAAGCGTTGTCCAAAAAAAACAAAAAAACTATCAATGCAGTGTTGAAGTTACCATCTGGTTATTTAACATAGCCATGGAAAATCACCATTTATAATAGGTAAGCCATCTATAAATAGATCATCTATACCATGGCAAACTGTTAAATAACCAGAGGGTATCTTTTCAAGCATCCCAAATCGCCATTGCAATGGACCCCCGAGGTCTCGCGATTGCATTCTGGCAGGTGCCATGAGGGCCCAGGGAAAACTGGGTGCCCTTTTTACTGGGTAAATATTGATAGGTTACTGGATTCTTGTAATTGAAAAACAGTCCACACTCAGCTCAAAATGTTTATTGTGCGGCAAGTATCTAAGTCGACCATGGTTGTTGCCCGAACCTTATGAGTTTTTCGAAAGGCGAAGCTATCCATTTCGACTAACATTGAATATAGTTTTTTCCGACATGATGTCACACCCAGAAAAAGTTGTATGCCTGACACCCATTCGGGTTCCCTTGCACCCATTTCCCAAACGGTGGATATTTTTGGACCCTTGGCAGAATCAGTTCATATCCTATGGCAACCCCACAAGTCCAACGGAATCTTCCTATCTGTATCACTCCCACCACGAGCAGTGCAAAGAGGTTGGGAATTGGCTGCGCCATCCATCGACTACCAACACCTCACAAGTGGGCGGAATGGGGCGGGTGCGAGTTTTGTTGGTGTCGAACCCAAAAATGAGGCCTTTTTGGGTGGCAATCCGGCCAATGATGAAGCTATACCCCAATCTATACCCCTTAATTTTGCCAAGTTTGGTTATACAACAGTATTAACCACCCCTAAGATTACAACAATATTAGCAAAATATTAGATTAAGATATCACACCAGTTTGGTTATACCCCAAATAGTTGCTGTGGTGAATCTACAGTGGACGACTCACTCGACTTTTCTGCCTCAGTCACATCATGGCTGATCGAAAAATTCCCTTGGCCAAGAGTTCTGTTGTGGTTTTAATCTCGTGGATTTTTTGGGAATCCACATGTTGGTTGGTTGGAATCCATCATAAACCGAATCTTGTTGGAATCCATCATAAATCCAATGCACCTAGTTGTTGGTTGCAAATGATTCACATGTTCAACCTCATTTGGGATGATGCTTCCAAGATGTTCCAAGATGTTCACAGCTTTTTGGGATGACGAAAACACACCAACCATGTCTGGTTATGGTAATGGTAGTCATATCATCTCTGGTCATCTCTGGTAATCTCTGCCAATATTGATAACCCATCCCAATGTTCTCATTATCCTGTTGTAACTATATTTAAATCCCATGATAATTACTATGCCTGTTCTCCTCTCCTGATGCAAGCCCCAACTAAATAGCCCACGTTTATCAATAGCGGGAACTCATCTTCGGCCCTAGAAATGGCTCTATGTTAATTTCACTGGATTGGTTTAAGGGAAATTTTACAGGAAACCCCTCAATTTTCATGGGGAAAAGCAGGGTTTCCAGATTTTCCCTTCAATCCAGTGTATCACCATCCTTATCACCATCAGATGCCAAGTGATTGCCGCCCCATCGGTAAGATCCTCAGGTGACGGACAAGCCTGCAGCCGTTCTTGTGGCGGCGGCCTTTATGAGATGCGTCGCAACGTCATCGCACAGGCGGGCCTTGGAGGCCTTGGTAAATTCATGGGGTTTTAGGGGGATAGCTTGTGGGATTTTATAGGATTTAAAGTGGATTTCAATGGAAATCATGGGGTTTTATTTGATGGTTGATGAGATTTCAAGGGATTTAATGTGGATTTCATGGGATTTTATAGAGTTATATTTCATGGGATATAACTAACAAGAATGGGATATGTCATGCTGTGTGAATACACTCTAATCAGTCGCATGGCTTGCTGGAAAATCCCCCATTCAGTTCGATGATTTCGCCAGATGAAAATTAGACGGGATTTCCCATTGCCATGTTTGATTGCCAGAAGCTACGGTTCTTTTGGAGGTGACCTATGATGAACTCCCAAGGTTGGCCATGTTTGATGGTCACAACCACTGAGCCAAGTGCCTTGGTGACTTGCCATGTTCATTAAGTTCGAGAATATATGAATTAGTACATGGATAGAAATATTGACAAAGATGTGATGGCTAAGCCTGGATGTAGTAAACCCAATCATAAACCTACTATTGGACATGGCTTTTGCCAACGATTTCTGGGAATATTCAGGCAGGTTTATGATTGGGTTTACCGCTTTATTGGGATACCAGAGCTTCCCAAACCCAAGCAGTCTCCACGACTGTGAGGCAGTCGGTGGTGGCATCAAATGTCCAGGGTCCGACGTCCCAGTTGACGCGGTGGAAGGTGACTGATGTTGAAAACAAGGTATACCACCCAAACGTCCATTTTGAATGTATAGTGAGGATTTAACCAGTGGATTTAAGAGTACGTTTCTTTCAGATGCAGTTGGTTGATGGTGTGATTAGATCTATGTTTGTTTTGATGTTCGTATTTTTGGTCCGTTGCAAGAGGAACCTGGTTGTGTATGGTGCGAAAGGGTTTGGGAGCTGTATCATATATCTAGATGATTGCGATTCTTGGGAACATGTTCCGTGAGCTTCCAGCTCTCATCCGGGTTTGGATGAACTTTAGACAACCACGTCACAAACATCAGTGGCGGACTGGTAGGTGGTTCTCCCATGATATTTGTGTCTCTGTGTAAACCTTGGGAAATGGTTGATGGATTTTTCTGTAAGCATAAATGCAGGACCATGATTTCCCACTGAGAGATATGTTCTGTTAAGATCATGGGTTCATCGATTATGCGTTGGCCAATGTTGGCCATGAAGACCAAATGAATATCTTGCTAATAAAGCAACGTGTTTGCTAAATATCCAAGCTTAGTCCCTGGGAAATCCCCATTGCTTGGCCATGCTCCACATGAAATACACAGATCAGCACCAGTGCAGAGCATTAAAGCTGCGAGGACTCAGCTCATACCTTTGCACCTGCAAGGCGCAGAAAGATCGGAATATCGGAATGGTGGTTTCGAGTATCGAGTTCGTCCCTGATGACTGCTTCGAAGCCTGAGGGTCTCCGTCTTCCAGTTCCAGGACCAGCCAGGGAAGCGGAGACTGTGCGAATGGCTCCACGGATGCAGCGACGACAACGCGCGGAAGTCTTGGCTTTTTGAGGAAAACCAGGGCTGACATGTATTGCAATGGCATTCAGATTGAAATTCTTTGAAGATAAATAGATCGGATCTGCATTTGCTGCCAGGCATCTACTTTAAAGGGGATTCGTTCTTGAGTTGGATATTCATAGGAAAGACATCTACAAATAGAATCCGCATTGCCAGTTTTGATACTGTAAGTAAAGGCTACTTGTTTGAATCTATCCCGCGACTATGTTTATGCGCAGGCACCAATTTTGGAATGTAGACCAGTCGACCATTCACATCCAAGATCAGCGACCTCTGATATCAAGCCACCAATACCTTCACCTCTTTACAATTTCGAAATCCAACAGAATACCTATCTAGTAATATCTAGCAATATCTAGCGATATCTAGTAACATCTATCATCTAGTAATATCTAGTATTGACAATACCAATAGAAGAATTGTGTATTACTAGATGCGAACCACTAGATATTGGTAATTACTATGACAATACTATTGGTATTACCAATAGAAAAACTGGTAATTACTATGACAATACGATTGGTATTACCAATAGAAAAACTGGTAATTACTATGACAATACGATTGGTATTACCAATAGAAAAACTGGTAATTACTATGACAATACTATTGGTATTACCAATAGAAAAACTGGTAATTACTATGACAATACTATTGGTATTACCAATAGAAAAACTGGTAATTACTATGACAATACTATTGGTATTACCATAGAAAAACTGGTAATTACTATGACAATACTATTGGTATTACCAATAGAAAAACTGGTAATTACTATGACAATACTATTGGTATTACCAATAGAAAAACTGGTAATTACTATGACAATACTATTGGTATTATTGGTATTACCAATAGAAAAACTGGTAATTACTATGACAATACTATTGGTATTACCAATAGAAAAACTGGTAATTACTATGACAATACTATTGGTATTACCAATAGAAAAACTGGTAATTACTATGACAATACTATTGGTATTACCAATAGAAAAACTGGTAATTACTATGACAATACTATTGGTATTACCAATAGAAAAACTGGTAATTACTATGACAATACTATTGGTATTACCAATAGAAAAACTGGTAATTACTATGACAATACTATTGGTATTACCAATAGAAAAACTGGTAATTACTATGACAATACTATTGGTATTACCAATAGAAAAACTGGTAATTACTATGACAATACTATTGGTATTACCAATAGAAAAACTGGTAATTACTATGACAATACTATTGGTATTACCAATAGAAAAACTGGTAATTACTATGACAATACTATTGGTATTACCAATAGAAAAACTGGTAATTACTATGACAATACTATTGGTATTACCAATAGAAAAACTGGTAATTACTATGACAATACTATTGGTATTACCAATAGAAAAACTGGTAATTACTATGACAATACTATTGGTATTACCAATAGAAAAACTGGTAATTACTATGACAATACTATTGGTATTACCAATAGAAAAACTGGTAATTACTATGACAATACTATTGGTATTACCAATAGAAAAACTGGTAATTACTATGACAATACTATTGGTATTACCAATAGAAAAACTGGTAATTACTATGATAATACTATTTCTTAGCACCTGCTCCAGATGCGAACCCAGGGCAGCGAGCCCCGAGCGGAGCCGCTTCTTCAGCTGCAACACTCAGCCCTGCCCGACGGTTTCTTGGTGCCGCGAAGGGTGCGGTGGCTGATGCTATGATGTTGACCAATCATTTGGTGGTTTCCTAAAATAGGGTTACCCTCAAATCATCCTAATTTACATGGGATTTTCCATGAAATAAACCAACCAGCTATTGGGGTACCCCCATAGGAAACCCCCATTTAATGATGTATCCAATGAGGAGATATAATAAGATATCATGGGATATATCAACAATCATGGGGAGATATTGGGGATCAACCAGATTGAAGTCATAAAGTGTAAATATGATTGGTATTACGTATTAACTTATTAGTTTAATCATGGTTGGAATCTGGATTGTTGGTGAGGTCAAATCTCACAACGACCAGCCTATCAATGATTGCTAGCATTTTGACGGCCTCAAAAAAAGTTTGTGATGGAAAGGGATGCAGAAAATCATCATTGGGTCGTCCCGAGATCATCTGACCACGGATGCAAGTTATGAATTGGTTGGGGTTCCCTTGAGGCTTTGAACCCTCCCAGCCTCAACCCTTGAACCCTGGAACAACCAAGAATCTGTCCTTGCTAACATAGGGGTTCAGGACCAGATGGAAACAACCCCGTAAAGATCGAAAAGGTTCAATCTACCACTACTTTAGAGTCAGATGTTGTTTTCTTGACCAAAGATGGCGCGGCTATATTTGTATATCAATCAACATGTTCATCATCTATGTATTCAAGTGTACCATTTTTGTTTCACCCCAACTGCACCATTTTTTCATTGTGTTTGGTTAATTCTTGTTGGTGCTAAACCCATGTCCCATATTAGTGGTGATGTATCCCCATCACAATCTATGAGGTAAATCAATAGTGATGGGTGATATGGTGATGGAGAAGAAAAAACCTCAGATCCCCATGATATTCCCCGTATATCCCCCATTTTCGACGGTTACATCAGTTACATCCCCATCATGCCATCATCCCATCTTTGGGTGCCGAAGCTCCTGAAGCTAGGCATTGGCCTTGAACGTCTACACGGAGCCCAAGTGGGTCAAGCCTAACACCTTCTTCCAGGTGATGATTTCACCCAAATGTGGCTGAAAATTCAGGAAACTCAGGGATTTCGAGCGCAGTCTTTGCAAAGAATTACCTGAAAAAAGATTGTTTGGTATGAAACAAAACTAGTAAACATTTGATTCCTGGATGGAAAATACTCAATACATCTCTGTATATATATAAAAATTCACATATAATATATATGTATATATATATATACCAGGGTTACTCCAACCTATTGTAGGAAAATGAAAGCCACAAGAGGTGGAGATCAGCTAGCTCTTTACCGTATCTGAATTGTTTGGAGCAAAAAATCAACATGTAGGAAACGAAAATAGAGGTTTGACCGACAAAGATGTGGATTTGTTGCCAAAAATGGGAACTGAAACAAGAATTTGGGTGGTTCACCAACAAAACTATAATGTGACCATCAAAAATAGGGGTTCTTACCAATCTGTTTTATTGCAGGCTGGATGGGTTAGATATGCACGAGAAAAAAAACGAGTGGAAACCAATGATGAAGTGTTTGATGGTTTGGTGATGATAGATGGGGTTCGATTTGAGTGGCGAGCATGTAGTCAGGGCAACCAGGGCTGTTTGTATTGGATGGGATTTGGTTTCGGATGGATCATCATGCGGTTTGTCCGTGACGGGAAGAATGATTATCCATCACATGTTGGGATAGATTGTTTTGTTCTTTTTTCACACGCCCTTAAATGTAAGTCACATCAAAGCTGTTTATCGTTTTATCACATGAATTTCCGAGCCACTTGGATATCTGACCCTTAGATCCTCGCTGGATATCCCCAACCGGCGGCAGGTCATAGTGGAGGGATACTTTTTGAAGCCCGAAGAGGCGGGACGCGGGACTGGAAAAGATTCAGATTTCGCCACAATATGGCATGTATGGCATGAAAAACTGTGGAATGCCTATGCCAATTGGGTGCCATTTTAATTGCGAAACTCAGGGCTTTGTGAATGGAAGCTTGAGATTCATGCCAACAAAAAGGTTGTCACCAACTATGCTAGGATCTCAACAAACTAACGGATCCCAGCAAAACTTGGAACATCCACAAGTCAGAACTGTTTGATTTGAGAATCAAAAGTTGGGGACATGCCCAAAGAAATGGTATGTGCAATCCAGGGAGGATTTGTCTGGACTAGAGGGGTCAACTAACCCGACGAATGTTTCTGTCTTTCGCTGGTAGGCCTGAAAAGGAACCTGGTGTATAGCATGTGTATATATATATATATAATTCTAATGTATATAGCTATAGATTATGGCATGTTGAGTTTTTGCGACAGTGCAGTGTGCACACAGCTGTACGTAGCAGCCCTTCAACGATGTAAAATGTCATTTATGCTCTTATGCTCGTATTGGAATGGTTGGATGAAATTGGGATCCCTACCCTGTCTGTGACTGAGATACACGAGAAAATGCAGAAATTGGAGAAATGCTCGCTGCAGATCGACACGATGAAGGAAACCATCGCTGCCGAGAGACGCAAGCGAATGCTTCTCTCCAGCACTGAAGCGAGCCTGGTCCTAAGAGCTGGTGTTCCCTGGCATTCGCAGGTGCAATTGGACAGCATCAACCGCTGGTGTCGACAGCATTGTGATGCACACTAGATTGGACTCCAAGAGTCACGGAGACGACGTCAAGTCACTTGTGGACTCGTGGCTGATTGGCGTAGTATGTCGCTCCCTCGAGATGCCGCTTCAGCGAGGAAGGAAGCGAACCCTTCCCCCCAAAAAGGAGATGGACTGAAATGGGTTTGGACTGCAATTGGAATCCCCCCCTTTTTGGGGGAACACTGAGAAATCGTTTCTACCCCACCAGAATGGATGACTGGAACTGACCAATCCTATCGCCAGGATCGAGTGGTACTGGTGCAGGGTGGTGACGCTGTTGAATGTGGCCAGGCGGGGGCCACTGGGGCTTGGGTGCTGCAGGATGGCAGATGTGAGTGGAATTTCCATGATTCCATGTGTTGGATGAATATTGGGATTTCTCCAAAGTGGAATTTCCCAAACAGCCCTCCAAAATCCATATATGATGTTTATGATTTTTTGGGAGTTGTTAGATGGAAACTCCTAAAGTCATGCGATGAATTTGGATGATCGTCTGATGTTTTTGGATGCATCCCATCCCAATAGTAACTACCCCCCCCATTTTTGAGGACCCCAAAGTGAATAGATCCAATGCTAAACCGGGAAGGGATGATTTTTGGAAGAATGATGATCCAAAAAATGAAAATGATCAAACAAAAGTGGTGGAACTCCATCATGTGCAGCCATATTCGCTCCCTGCAAGCTTTACAAGTTTTTTGTTCAGTGTCTTGTTGATGAACACATCACTGGGTTGGTTTACGACACCTGTGTTTTCCATCAAGATAAAGATGTTTCTTTGCAAGTTTCCCTGAAACCAAATTCTAATATAACTTCAATGTTGGATCTTTGTTGGTTATGCAACTTCGGCTTTTTTGCATCCCTCGGTACCTGGGCGGCCCCAGGCAGCCAATTCCTCAGGCGGGCCGGAGAACTGTTCCACTCATTTCTGGGTCAAAGCTGTTTGCACTCCATGTTGTGTGTGAAGAAACTTGTTGTGTTCGCCATCCCAAGTTTTCATGCTCTGTGTTTGGAAGCAGGGTATGGGATGGCGAATGGATGACCAGACCCAAAGTGGCCAGCCTACTGTCTTTTTGGAATGTGAGTGCCCTTGCTGCCCTGGTCAATGCACATGTTCCAGGATTGTTCCAACAGTCATAGGTGCCCGGATCACAACCCTTTGGACCATCGGCATCTGCCCTTTGGCAAGTTCTGATGTTCTTCCTTAACCCTGTACTGGTGATGGTGGATCCTATGGTTTGATTTCCTCACTGATTACTCCACCCCTTCAAACGATGCAGGTGGCAATGCATCAGAGATTCTTGCAAAAAACTTGGCAGGGCCAGGTTTGTCCCCCGTCGCAGGGACAATGACAGATTTCCATGTTTTGCCGTAGGGATTTCCATGAGAGAACGCCTTCAATCTGGATCTGTCCCAAACTGTTTGGGACCTCCATGGGTTTGCCTCCTGAAAAAGCTGGTTTCACATCCAGACTAGTGTCAATCTCTACCATGTCCGAACAAACCTCGAATCAGGAACTAACCGCGAATCAGGAGCAAAGAATCAGAAACTAAAACCCGCGAATCGGAAACTAAAACCCACGAATCCGAAACCAAAAATCCGCGAATCAGAAACTAAAACACCTGCGAATCAGATACTAAAATCCTCCATGTCCCGCGTCCAAAAAGAAAACGTCACCCCAAAAAGTATGTTGATTGTCTCCGAAGAATATGAAACCAATTTGCAAGCAGCTCGAGCTCGTGCTCAGGAATGGCAGCATTCCCCAAGTGCAGTGGGGTTCAGGCATGGACGGGTTGCTCCCGTGTTGCCATGTTGGATGTTTTTTACTTGCTAGTCCCATCCCGCAATCACATCAAATATCCCAATCAAATGCCTCAAAATGAATAGCTCCCGTATACTAAGCCAAGGTTTTTAGGTGTAACGTAGGTACACCCCAAACTTTAACATGGAACCCATTTTCATAGCCATATCCAACAGTAAAATGATCTTGAAAAAAGACCATGTTTGGGGTTCCACGTTAAAATTGTGGAGTGGATGTCTTAGATTCAATACAGAACCTTCGAAAATGATGGGAAATGTTCGCTATGTTCCACCGAATTTGCCAGTTGTTTGCAGCATCAAACACTTGTCAGGTGAATCAAATTCTGATTTTCCTCAACTGGTTGATAGCGAACGATTTGATGTTTGATATGATTACAACAGATGAATATTATATGTTCCTTCATTTTCACGATTTGATATTTAATATCATTACTTGAGGGCGCAGTTCCATGTGGGTTGTATAATGTTATATACCCATAGTTGTAGGGGTTATATATTATAATCATATTATAATCGTATATTATGGGTATAAATATGTTTATTATATATAATATTTGTACCATTTTATGATCATATTCCAGTACTTGAGGTGAGAATAGCACCAGTCATTCCATGGATCTGCCTGGAGATCCGCCGAGGCGCAACCTGTTCGCAGCCCGCTAGCAACAGCACCTACCTACAGCGCTTGGGTAGCACTGGGCAGGGCGCCTTTTGGGCCACAGGAAACAACCTGTCAAAATGATTCAAAATGATGGGTTTCATCAGACAAAATGATGGTTCCTCAAGTTTAGCGACACACAGCCCGGAACAAGCACTTCGCAAGGGGGAGATGGGAAAGTAATCGAATCCTATTTGGTCCAGAATCAATGGCTCTACAAGTGAAACTTCTCACCACTTGGACGCAGTACAGAAGGACATTCCGGTGGCACTTGAGTTTATTGTGTCTCTATGTGTTAGGGGAATCCCAAAACAGATCACTTCATAGTGCCTTGATTTGGTGTCGCAGTCAGCGGAGTCCTTACTGGGTAGTAGACCTTACTCGTCTCATTTCACGAGAAGTCGTCCCGCAACCGTTGTGCCTATGGGAAGTGTTGTTAGACTCCTCATCCCAGATTAGTCATATGTTTTGGGCATGTCGGGTTTTAAATACAAAACGCATTGGCACGATGCTTTGGACTGGGACCTGTGTTTATTCACCCAAAGTTATGGTTATCTTGCCGTGCCATTGGGATTTGACGCTGGTCACTGCGTGTCAGTGGTACGTTGACATGGTGGAGGGCTGTAATTCATTTGGGGAATTCTTATTCCTGAAGGGTCGTTTGTGTGGAATTTGAAACCTTTGATTACGTAAAGCAACACCTTTTACAGATGGGGCAAAGGGCTTCAACCTTAAATACCTCTTCTTCCACGTCCGCTGCTGCTGTAGATCCCAAAGAAGAAGCTGCTGATCCAGAGTTCGATCTAGAGAACCCTCATGATTGCCAGCAGCTCATCATGCTGCACTTTGGATCCAGCGCCTCGAAAGATTTACCAGCAGTAGCACAGTTCTATGTCAATGAGCTTCGTCAAAAGGCGACAAAATCGGCTTCCTTGGCACTTCTCATGCAGAAGGAGTTGCTGAAGCAAGGGGTCTTGAAAAGCAAATTTGGTCGTCAGGCATGGTTTGCAGCGTGGTCCAAAAACAGAGAGGCACGATTTGTCAAGATGCCGGAGTATCTCAAATCTAAACCTTGAACTGCGGGGGCGCAGAAAATAAGATTTGTGAGCTGCTGCGACCGGTTGCACCAGAAACCAGGAACAAAGTGATGATGACATGGACGTTTCTAATTCCCATATATTCCCATAATTAGTTGTCCGGATGCATTTTTCTTGCTTTATGTTTTTAATATAAGGTGGCTAGGCTGGTGTATCCAACCCATTGAAATTTTGCAGCAAAAGACAATTCAGGAACTCCAAGATATTTGATTGTCAAATCCGTTGTGCCAATGGCCGGTTGATCAAAAAACACTATTATTTAGACCAGATGTTTGACAGAACGCAGAGGCACGACAAGATTTCAGACCCATAGGAACAAGTTTGATCAAGTTTGTTGACGGCGTTGTGCCATGGTGATTTGCTTATGCGGGGGTGACTTCTGGATTTTGTGGGGTGACTTTTTTTCCACGTTGTGCCTTGCAGTGGGGTGACTTCCGGTTAAAAGGGGTGCAAAAGGTCCAACACTCGTACCATGGCTGTGAAATTTCCAGGACATACTGGCGGTCCACTCCGCAACTGCAGAACTGTTGCTGAAACAATAAAAATTTATTCCTTTCCCCTGCACCAAAAGTAATCCTGGTTGAGTGAGTAGTGGATTTCTTCATTTTGTGGTCAAAAAAATACTATTTGGAGGGCCACCAATGGGATGGATTTGATAAGGCGTTTCGTTGCCATTACCTTCATTTCACGACCAAAAAAAATGATCAATCAATGTTTGATCGCCTCACTGTCAGTTTATTCATTGTGGTGGTTAAGCCATGTTAAGCCATCATTTTTGTCGTTTCAAACACAATTCATATTTCTTGAACCTCCATGTTGGTTGATTTCACCATCTTTGTGAGTTAAACTCAATTTTTGCTGGGCAACCCATCCATGGATCACCACTGAGGTGTGGTGATGGTGTGGCCAGTCTGGTGGTCAACCAACCTGGGCGCTATCGCGTCTCAGCACAGACTCGCACCATAGAATTTGGGTGTTACTCTCTGGTAATTTAACATAGCTATGGAAATGGTCATCTTTAATAATCTTTAAATAGGGAAATCACTTTTAAATGTGCCATTTTCAATAGCTATTTTAAATTACCAGAGATTCAATGGGACACATAACCAACATCAACCATCAATAATGGAGATTAATGCCATATGGAGGTGTCTGAAACTTGGTGTACCCACAAACCATCCATTTTAATGAGAGTTTCCATTATTAGCCATCCATTTTGGGGTATTCCCATTTTTGGACACCTCCAATGTGAACAAATCAAAGTCGAAGTTAGTGCAAAGTCGAACTAATCACATCTACTAGTAGAACAGGCGATGTGATGAGTGAATCAAATCAACGTTTTTGAAAGAATCTAGGGGATTATCATATGGTTTGGACCATACAATGGGGATATGATTCATATGAACTGGGCATGAGATGTTTTGGCAGAGTGATCTTCATGTGTTCTACATATTTTCCCCATTCTTATTGCTACATGAACATGATCATGATGATGATGATGATGATGATGACGATGACCACTATGGTATCATTAGTGCCGTTTCTATGGACGTTTGCGAATGTGATGGTCTTGGTGATGATGGCGAAGTTGTCATGCACAATGGTGCGGTGTGATTGTCATTTTCCAGTTGAATGACACATTCGGTGTATATCCGAAGTTTGGTGTATTATTACATGATTTATAGTTGATTTTCCCATAAAATCGTCCATTTATAATCATTTATAGTTGATTTATAGTTGATCATATCCGCATTTTTGGTTTCAAACCTATAGCAAGAAACTGCCGAGGCCTGTGTCTTTGCCATGCAGCTTCAGTCCAGGTGGAATATGTAAACATTTCAGGTGCCGTCGGCCCATTTTACAAAAAGGGAGGGAGGCAGATGGTGGCGGTTTTGTTGGTTCAGTTTGCTTATTTCCAGCAGACCTGCTTGAAGCTCATTTAGGTGGGGATTGGCGGGAATATGAACTTGTTTTTTTTGTGAATGGCGATTGTAGTAACTCCCAAATGGAAGATGTGAAATTGCCAAATCCAATGCTGAATGGGGATAAGAATCACCATGAAAAGGATGTCTAAGAAGGACGACATGTCTTGTCCAGTAGTTGGTCCAAACCTTAGTTTCCACATGTTTGATGGCAACATGTTGGTGGCCCATCCTAGACAAACCTCTGTTACCCTCTGGTAAACTAACATAGCTATTGAAAATGGCCATAGAAATAGTGTATTTACCCATTAACAATTGTGATTTTCCATAGTTTTTTGTATGTTTACCAGAGGGTATATTGTTGGTGATCCCAATTATTCACCAGATGGTTGGTTTTTGCATACCATTGATCCGTTTTGAATCGCACGATTTGGATCTCCTTATGTTATCCCATCATATTCCCATAAGAAGATTGGTTTTACATCCCATTATCGTTTTTTTGGTGGGTTGTATCCCATGATATCTTATTTGTCCCAATTCTACCCCGATAAAATCATTGGTTCCCCACATTTTGTGTGGTCACCTCCATGATATCCCAAAAACAACCTGTCAGTTTCGCGGTCCGTAGGTTCAATGGAGTTGCTTCGTGACCGCTGCAGCCGTTTGGAGGATTTTGCTTTGATGCCAAGCCGCTCGACCTGCGGTGCTGCGCTGTGATAGGGTGGAGGGGGCAAACCTCAAAAAATGGAGGACTTAATGGGAAAATCAATGCTAAATTATGGGATAATATACCAAACTTGGAACATACACCAAGAGAAAGAAGGAAAGAAGGGGAGATCTTGTCCTCAGGCTTTGGTGCTTCGCTACCTGAGGTAGTTCAATTGCCGAATGTCAATCCCTGATGTTAACCGCCAGTGTATTAAGTTGCGTCCTCAAAACAGTGAATTTGTTCAGCTTATTAATGGCACCCCTCCCTGATAAAACTAAAATGGTCTCCTCTGGCAATCGAACATAGCTATCGAAAATCGCAATTTTTAATAGGTAAGCCATTTATAAACGGTCTATTGTTGCAATTGTCCATAGCTATGTTAAATATCCAGAGGGTAATCCATATTAATCCCACAAAAAAAAAAAACACGAGTCGTGGGTATTAACAATTAAGTACCATATTACCATTCAATAACCATAAAATTTGCCATAATTAAGCAACCAGTAACCAGTATATAACCATTAAATAACCATGAAATCTCAATAGCAACGCCTGTTCCAATGGATCCAATGGATCCAATGGATCCAATGGCCAGGTAATGGATCCCTGATCGACATCACTGGATCGCACACGGAGACCGAGGTCGGGGCAACGACCATAGGATTATCTCCCAAGATCCATGGAATTTTATGGGAAAACCATGGGAAAACCATGGGAAAACCATGGGAAAACCATGGGAAAATGGTGATTTATATAGTAATAGATGGTCTGGTTGGTGGTGACTGGAACATGACTGGATTATGACTTTCCCATCATATTGGGAATGGAATGTCATACTGACGAACTCATATTTTTCAAGATGGCTATTGCACCACCAACCAGATAGGATGATCTCCCAATATCCATTGTTTTTTCCATGGTTAAATCTTCGGTTCCCAAGAACTATATATGGCTGAGAAAAGTCCAATTTCACTATGGTCTATGATACGCAAATAACATCAACATTGTGGTATTCATGGCTGCTATATCCAGACATCATGTTTGGGGAACTCGCTAAAAAGGTGCCGGGAATGATAAACCCATGACTGGGAATGGTAACTCTACCACCAAACAAAAAATGGTGACTGGAGGATGGTAAACAGCGAATCCAGCACTTTCGACGATGTGCACAGCTACCAAGTTGGATAACTACACTAGGTATATTCCATCCTGAGGGGTCAAGATAAAGAACCCCTTTTTAGATGTCAGTTTTGCTTTGGGAAAAATGTGGTTTTTTTTGTAAGATTGAATCATCTAAGATGATTCTAAGGCAAGACGGGGTGGTTTTTCAGAGGTCAATCTTGCTGAAATGCGTAGTAAAATACCACCATCCACCAACCAGTCATGGCTTACTTGGAGCTGCAGTTCTAGTTCTAAGTTGTGATATGACCATGTTTATGGACGTTAGTTATATCCCAAAACTGGGTAAGAATCATTATTCCCACGCTACCCTTTTTCAAGATCACCCATACTCACCCGACAAAACGACCCTGGGACACTCCAGGAAAAGGCAGATGTCGACGATGCTTTGGGCGTGCTTGGCATGAAGGGCCTCCAGGAAAGTGGTCGCAACAGGCCGTTGGGTCTATCAATGGGGTAAAACCCCAAATAAACACATGAATGAACTGAGAAAATGAGGATAAACCATGATAAACCACATGATTTTCGGGGACCAAAAATTTACAAAGCCATTTCAACCAGCTGTGTTTTCTGTGGTATTTCCATCCTAAATCTGCTGAGATTCCAGTACGGCGGAAGGTCGGATCTCATCCTGATCTTGGGGCTGATCTCAGCGACGCTGTTGCCGGGGGCCCAGGAAATTGGGCGATCTGCGGAAGATTCTGACGAAAATGGGATGTGGATAAAAACAGTTGAACTTCGGAAAGTCGCGAAAGTCGTGAAATGTTTAGCCATGCTGAGAGCCAGAATTTTCTTGACCATTTCTTTGGATTTTGCAAAGGGATGGCACTTTGACAGATTGCAATCTGGGGCTTCAATCCTGACACAGGATCAAATCTCAGGTACTGCTGTGCCATTTTGGGCGCCTGCTGGTTCTGGCGCTATAGGCGCAGCACGGCTTCCCATGGGGCAGTGCCTGTAACGCACTTTTTTGGGGCGGTGATTCGCATTGTCTTACTCGGAGTGCTTACTATCATTGGATTGGTTTTAGGGAACATTTTAAGCGGAAAAAAAAAACATATTTAATGGGAAAATCGATGGTTTCCGCAGATTTTCCCAACAAAACCAATCCAATGATACTGTATACGAATCTGAGTAGTTTCAAGCCATTCGAATGGAGTGCTCAACCAGAACCATGTGGAGCCACAGAAACTCTGTGGGCCTTTCCCACTGTTGTTCCAATCTTGGCCTTGTTGCTTTGAACCTTTCCTTGTCATTGGTACTCTAGATGTGTTTCATGAAATGTTAATCCAAGAAATAAAGCATGTGGTTAGTCAAGCCGCCAAGCCAGCTTATTAACAATGATTCTTGGTGTTCCGGTGATTGAAAATCACTTGCCAAAGTGTTTGGATTCCAAACAGAACAGTCGATTCCCATTTATCAAAAGATGAAAAAATCTATTGCACCGAGCTGTCGCGACACCTCTCGCGTCAACGTCAGGTGGCGGAAACGCGGAGAATGGAGGAGGTGGGATCGGAAAGCCAACCCGGGTTTTTGTAGCTCCATAGTCATAGTGATGTTCTGTCATGGTGACAAAATAGCAATGAGAATTATGATTGTTAAAATAGCAATGATAGTAAGCCAAGAAGCAGCAATAGTCATTTTTTAATTAGAGTGCTATCGCTTTCAATGGTGTAATGCTGAGAATGATGGTGATGATAGTAATAATCCTCATAGTGGTAATCCTGGGGAATTAACTTTACCAAAATGGCAGTGTGTCAAAACCTTGTACCCCTTCTGTTCACATCAAAATAGCTGGGATTTATGGATGTTCATCCCCTAATAAACTGTATCTATAGCTATTGATCCATACCCAAATGACTGATGGCGTGGCAAGAATCCAGTTTTCCTCGACGTGTACAGCTGGCAAAGTCCACCAAGTGATACCTCTGGCGAGTCGCGCGGGCTATGTTGATGGAAGACGATCCTTTGTTCAGCAGCGAGTAGCTGAGGTTTTTCTGCAAGTTGTGTGGCACAACACTGGAAGCGTTTCCTGGCCATGTGAAAGTAATACTTTGGATTACTTTGGATGATCACGGATCACCAATTTTTTTTTGGGCCCAGTTGTAGCCCTTCCCAGATGCAAAGCTTGTGGTGAAGGTGGCGCCCATGAGAGATTTCTGCATCATGAAGCATAAACCTACGAAAAGCTGCAAGGAGAGCGCATTCTAAAGGTATGGGGCTCAAGAAAAAATGTATTTCAAAGCATGAACCAAAACTATTTTGGTCATTTGGTCCTTTCGTACCTTGGTCCTCTGGTCTTTCTGTTCCTTCTCTATCTTACCATCAAAACACTAAGCCAACCCCTAAATAAAGCAGAAAAAACCCTCTAAAAATTTAACCTAACCCTAAACAAACGATAGGGCACCAAAACAAACTTTTAAACAACCCTAAATATGACCTTAAACTGATTCTACAGAACCCCTAAAAGCATCTAAAAGCACTCTTTTAGTCATCCGGAAAATACCCGTTTTTCATCAACCGTCCGATGTACCGGCTGGCCTCTCAGAGCAGGATGGGCTCCGGGCTCTTCAAGAATTCCTTGGTCTCGCGGCGGACGATCGCCCAATGGGATGCCAAATGAACAGGGAGTTTGAGGTGTAAATGTGTTTGTCTGAAAATAATGTATACCCCCAATGATAGCCATTTAATAGGGATAATGATCATGAACCATTGGCTTTAGGGTACACTATTTTCAAACAATCCTAAATGTGTTTTAAATGTGATCCCAAGCCCCCCTGATGTTAATCAATTTATCAGTTTCGAGCTATCCCCATTTGGAGAAAATGGCCTGGAGATTGGCGATGGATGTCAGCTAGATGCAGGTTGTGAGGTTGATTCCCTGATGGTTTTAGAATGATACCATCTCAAAAAAGTGTTTGTTGAAAAAGATACTCACGTGATCTCACATGTCTCATCATTTCTCCATCATTCCAATATTGCCAAGTCAACATTTATATAATATTCCCCGTTAGATAATTGAAAAGTTTAACGTTTTTGGCCCCCTTTTTTACCAAGATTGATGTGATTTGTATCGCCATGTTTGATGGAGAATCCTGGATAATCATCTAGAAATGGGCCATGTGGCTGAGGTGGCCAAAGCCACCAAAGCTGCTTGGGAGGCCACCTGCTGACATGTCAAACCCATTTTTTGATGGGGACATGCTTGGGATATTACCAATATATACCAATAGTATGAGGATATACTGATATATCCTATGTATATTCGGATGCAATGGGGATCTGCTGGGATTAGAATCAATAATATTAAGATGTAGGATATATCTGATAAACCATAACGGCCGAAGCCTGCGACGACGCGCAGAACTTTTCGGGTTGGTGAATTATGAGAATTTATCCAGATAGCTGCAAAGATTGCTATATGCTTATAATTTATACATCAAACTATCGAAATATAGAAATAAGTCATTGGGTGAAATGACAGACATGCTAAAGACAGTGACAGGTTCAGTGCTTAGGTTGGCGCCAGCTTTTTGTGACCAAGCTGCCCGCCGGTCAGGGAAAAGCGTTCATGGATTTCTACCAAGGACAAGAAAAAAGAATAGAACTGATATGCATGCCTTCAGGGTGCGTCCCAGTTGGTTCAGGCTTTCATCCAGGATTAGACCCAATATGTGGCCCCATACTCAGCACCGCGTCAGGCTTACAATCGTACCGTCACGGAACAAGCTCAGCTAACGTGGCTTGGCACCGGCATCCCATGGTGCAGCTATGGATGCTCAATTGACGGCCAAAATATGAGCATAATGGGATGGTTTCCCACTAGATGTCAACTAAATGTTGATGAATAAATCGCCAATGCTTTGACATTTACAGTATCATCATTTGCCACCATGTTTAATACTCAAGTTTATGTCTTTGATGGTTTTTATCATTATGTGTGCTACACATTGTGCTCCAAAAAACGAAAAATGATTATAGTTTATTGAAACACCTGGTGGATTTGTTAGATTAGCATGAGATTCCCTGATGCTTGAGATTCTTATTGTTTATCTGATAATTAGTTGATCAAACCACCATTTTTCAATCGGGTTTTCAGTTGCTTAAAAGCACTGCACAGCTCAGGGAGGACGGTGACGGTGAGAACGTCGATGACCTCGTGGCGGAGCCGTTGGCGGATTTGACCTCCGTGCCACAGACGGTGGGGATCAGCCGAAGCTGTTGGTTGATGATTATTATATGGGGATGATATTATGGAATATAATAATTGTATAATTCATATGGAAGATCATAATCCCTATTTTATCATTCATATAATGATCCATATAGAATATATGTTGATTTAATGGATTTATCATTCGGACCATCAAATGGGGATGTTTAATGTATATATATATGGATTTTCCATGAAATGAACCAACCATTTTTTGGGGGGGAGATCCTCCATCCCCCATTTATGGAAAGCCCATTATATGGGGATTAGTCAACTCAGTTATGTCCTCCAAAGCCTAATATGGAGATTATACGAAGCAATAATATATCTAGAACGGAGAATCTAGTACAAAGGACTATTATCACTTATTATACTCAGTCGGGGGCCCTGTTTACGATACTAATTAAGTTCGTTTATAATTTCAATAACTATGATTTATGATACTTATAACTATAGAATTAATGCAGACTATAACCCAACAAACATTACGTGTGGGGGGCCCACATTGTTGGGGCTTTTCTGATTGGCTGGTTAGTGAAGCTCTATACAGCATGGACGAGACATCGTCCTCGATTTTCCTATGGTACCATGGTGGTCGTCTCACCAGAGCAATGAGGTTGACCAGTGCCCTCCTTAGAGAAAGTGCCGCGGACACCGGTCCTGCGCAACCCAATGCCGATGCAGAAGACGAGTATGAACCGTCAGAGCCGCCTGAGACATACCCAGGGCTTGATCATTGGAGTCAACCTGATCCAGATCTGAGAGACCTGCGTGGTTCAGAGCGGTTTTAGAATTGGTCGGCTGCGACAGAGCCCTTCTTTGGAGTTGTTTGTAGAGCGACAGATATATCGGATGTCACAATTCCAAAACATTTTGAAACTGGCCCCCCCCCCAGAGCCTTACATACAATAGCATTCTTCAACTTCACAGCTTCACCTGACCAAGAGTTCTTGTGTGCCATGCCCTTCACACCAGAGGCACAGAGCAACCACTTGCGGCACTTGTGCTCAAGCTCTTGAAGAAATGGGACCATTGAAAACATGTGACAAAACGTGTGACCATTACGGCGCTGCTTTAAGCTTCAGTGCGAGTGCGAAAAAATAGTTTCAGCGTTGTGTGGCATTGACTTCTCGAAGATCCTCATGCCACCAGTTTGCATATTTTCTCCTTCTAGGTCCGGATACCAAGGTTCTAGTTTCCGAAGACTAGTTTCGGAATACCACTCCCAGTTTCCGAATCTCAGTTTCCGAATACCACTTCCAGTTTCCGAATCCCGGTTTCCGAATACCACTCGCCAGTTTCCGAATACCACCGTAACCGGTTAGTGATTTATGGATTTACTGGGAGTTCGCCATCCATTAGTTCATGATTTTGAAGGAGACTTTAATTTGGACCATCGTCAGTAACACGGATTTTAAGTGAGTTTTAAATATCAAACCTGCCATTGATGATACTTGCAGGTACAGTTGCGGTAATGGAAATGGGTGGCAAACCTCCATAAGTTGGTATATGGGGCCCCTATAACTGTAGCAATATATTCACCTATGACTAGAGCTGCACCCCAAGTTTTGGGAGTTCTTACCATCAAGTCATCACCAAGTCAATGGGAATTCCAGGATCCTAAAATGGAGGTACTGTACCATATAAAGCCATATTTTGGGTGTGTCTTCTCTTACATAGCCCTTACATAGGCCCTATATATGGTAGGTACCTCCAATAAATCGGCACCTGAAGTGGCCATTGACCAAGTATGAAGTTTTGATTGGGTGTTTAAGGGTTGACCATCAACGGTGCTCTCACCTGGAGCTGACAATCGTCGGGCTTTTACTGGCGGTTTAACCATCGAGCTGTTGGGGTTTTATGATGATATGGGATATCATGAGATGATTTGTGAGAATCTAGAAATTAAATTCAGCGGTTTCGAAAGCCCTTAAAAAAAGATAGATCTGATGTAGATAGAAAATAAGGGATTCTATCTGTCAAAATGTGGTATATGATTAAGAAATGATGGTTGGTTGATGGTTTGCTTAAGGATCTTGGGCTAGTATCCCAAAAAAAACAGGAATTATCACAATCCATGGGAATCCGAACGCTGAATCCTGGGCGTCGATGGAAAGTATGTCCCACCAGTCGATGGTTTTTTGGGAAATGTGAAGACCTCTATCTGTTTCTGGTGGATTGTAAAAGCTGCATCTTAATCTTCCTTACTGTAGAGAATTTTCCTTGAAATAGCCCGATCATTTCCCAAGTGTGGCTTTTTGAACATACTTGGATTTGTGTTGGAATTTAATACCCATTGGTAATTTGACATCATCAAATTTATGGAACAGCACCCTTCAAATTTAGGTAAATCATCGAACTAAGTGGGTCGTTTTACAGTTCGCAAACTATGAAATTACCGGAAGGTAATCCATATGAATAGCATGATTCACTATTCGTGGATACCCATGAAGTCGCATTGCAGTCCCATGAAATAAACCATAACAAATACCCCCATGACATCCAATCTGTTTATCTGTTTGGTGGGTGAACACCCTTCTTGCATGGGTGGCAGGGCACCCTGACCCCACCGGGCACTGGCGTGTCGCTGAAGAGTGGCAGTTCCATGCTGCTCGGTGGAAGTTGTGGCCCACTGGGTGTCCCATTGCCATGATTACCAAAAGGTACCTAAGGTTACCCCTACATGCACCATCATTTCTAGTGACCTCACGGTGACATCGTTGACTGCTACATGGGTCCGAAAGTGGGGGATACTCTCAAGTTCGAAGAATTTTATGGGGACGATGATCAAGCATGATGACAGGTGTACCCTGCTTTCACACCCACAGTATGTCGGGTGAAATCCAAATTTTGGCAGATGAAATTCTGACCAAAGTTTTTTAGATATACTGGTATTTGCTACCCTCTGGTAAACGTTTACAAAAAAACATGGAAAATCACCATGCTATTAATGGGAAAACTCACTATTTCGACTGGGTCATTTTCTATGTCGCAAACTGTTGACTTAACCAGAGGCTACATGATCCACCATCCCCCACAGCTGCGCTGAGGCACAGTTCCTCTACCAGTAGCACCCGCGCTACCACACCAGGTGCCGACGGATATGGGTTTAGCTACCAGAAAATTTAGGTTGATGATGGGTCACCGATGAAGCTGCAGGCTTCAAACATGTTCCTACTTGGTTCAAAAATAAAAATAAAATCATGGCCAGAAAATCTTGGACAATTGATGCCAAAACCTGGACTTATACTGTTTTGATGGTGCTTGTAAACGAATCCAATATGGGAATCCCCAGCAAAGATGACCAGATGAGCCATTCTACCAACACCGGGGGAAATTGGTTTACACCCCAGAAAAATCACATGAACCTGTCATGAAACAATGAAACCTTCAAACTTGGGCCTTGAAAATGATGAAAACCCAATGGCACACGGCCAATTTGTTGACCAAACTGGTCACCAGAGATTCGGTCACCAGGCAATCATCCTTCGCTCCTGAAGGCTGATGGATGGATTGGGAAACTGATAAAGGTTTTATGAAGCCTCTTGGGAATCGTCTCTGGATCACTGATAGCCACAAACCAAGGCCCAGGAATCAGGAAGTCGGCTTTGATGTTTATGAATTGTCCACATGATGCAATGATCTCAAGGATGAATTAGATCACAGATCAGTAGCTTGTATCGATGTAGCAGCGGATCAGGGCATGACCCATTCCCGGGCATGGATGGGAACATTTGCGAGTGAAACTCATTTTTGTTCACGGGTAAAATCATGTCAAGACCCGGTGTTTCCTCCAGATGTCCCCTTAAATCCAGCCATTGATGCATGGGCATGTACTTCGCCTGAAATAGGCCTCGTATGTTCAGTTGCTTCAAAAAAACGCACGCTGTGATATTTGTGGGAGCCGTTAGTTTCATTGCTTGACTTGCTGGAATGATGAAAATTACATGTGTAGTGCCAAAATGCTCGCTGTGGGCATGTTGCACTTTTGCTTAACTGGTGCATTGGGATGTTGAACTTCTCCAGTAAAACATGGAAGGGGAAAGCAATAAAAACAAACATTCCCCAAAGATTGTCAAGACATGTCAAAACTATCTGCAACCAACTTAAGAATTACATTCATCATGTAGGTCTTATCATCTACAAGTGCTGGCTTTTACGCCACATGTTGGAGACCCTCCACCGTTTGCCATGCCAGGTGGCGTTGAATCGGGACAGCTTGGGATGGGAAGGGTGGTTTCATGCATGAAACTCATCAAAAATGATGGGAAAAACATTGGGATTTCATGGGTGAGCCCGTTTGATCCACCATGGATTGTTGATGATTGTTGATGTGGGGAATCCCAAAATGACCATTGGGGTTGGTTTTTCGATGCTTTTCATGCGGCCAACCGGCCAGGAATGCAGGCTTTGCATCCGGATTCCCATGTAGTAGCAATAGTTAATAGATGTTAATAGTAAGATAAACCTATAACAATGTTAATGTTAATAGATGTTAATGTTAATAGATGTTAATAGATGTTAATAGTTAATAGATGTTAATAGCAACAATCGCAATAACACCCATAAAAGACTGATAGCAATAGACCGTACACACCGTAATGACAATCATGAATAGATCACGGGCATAGTCAGTAATAGCATAAATGCATAAACCTTCGTGAAAAGAAGAAGCACAATACGATGAGTATGTAAGAACAAGAATCAAATAGTATCTAATAGGAACGATAGTACTGACAACAACAACCAATTTAATTATTAGTATGATTCTCTACAACTATTAACTATGTAATAATAACAACCAAATAGGTAGTGTCTTGCTATAATTAAAGTATCAATAGATTGCATGGACAAATTTGAGATCGGGCTTGGTGCTCCGCAGGACGTGCATCGCCCCGTGTCTCCCAAGATGGGCGGCTCCTTTTTGGACCTGCCTTTGGCGGGCAAAGGTGCGGGATCTGGTGGAGATTGGCTCAACTACATGTCGGATTATGCTAATCCCCAATATCAGAAATGTTGGAATTGTTAAACATAAATAGTGGTTTGAAGATGCTTTCACCGGCAAAAATTTTGTTGAAGCAAAGTTGGCTTAGGATGGGTATGAACAAGTAGTTGAAGAATTTATGCCGGATTTAACCATGAGCAATGGGACGTCATGGGTATATGCTGATTTTTCAATGACCAATCACCTTGTTGGCAGTTTCAAATATGTTTGTTATGGAGCCCATTTCCAGTACAATGGGATGATCGAAATTCAATGTGCGTTCTTGGCGACCGCCCAAAAGTTCACGAAACTGGCAACTCAGGGGTGGGTTTTTTCACAGCTTGAAGGGGATATGTTTGATTCAGCCTCAATTTTGAGTTGATGTTTCACGTTTTCAGTTTTCAAACTGAAAACGTGATTGGTCATTTAACACCAGCATATTCCCATGATATCCACATTTGATGAAAACTCCAGTGTTCTCTGAAAAAAGTCGCCAGGCACCCGTTCGGCCACCGCCAGCCCCTCGCGGCCCTGCACGGCCAACACGGTGTTGACCATCGCCGAAGAGCCAGGCCGGGAAGGACATGGTTTTTCCCAACGGAAAATGGTGGGTTTAAGCCATGCTTAAGCCATGCTTAAGCCATGTTAATCACGACAAATGGTCGGTAGCATCCTGAAGAATTGTAAATGGTTGAATCACTAAAGGAATGGCAAAAAGTCACCAGAAGCACAAAGAAAATTAATGTGGTCTGACCAATTTGCAAAGTTTGGGGTCCCAATTTTCAGCAAAGAGCCAGGTTTTACCAACGGCGGTCTGACATCATTGGGTTTATCCCATTTTGGGTTTTGCCAAAGCTCACCCGGCGTAAAAGTGGCGTAAGCGATGTAACCCCTTTGATTTAGCCATCAGGATACCATCATCTTTGGACGAGAAAATTGAATTTCTTCAAATTTTGGGACCCAAAAAGTGCAAAATGGAGTACCTTCGATAGTCCTAGTTTGTGCTTTCAAACATGGTTTTTCCCTCTATTTGGGATGCTTGAGCCAATTGACTTATGGGCGCCCATTCTGTATTTTTTGGACGAACAACTAACAGAAGTTTGAACTATCAAGGTTTGGGCTTTCAAACAAGCAAAATTTGGAGTTTAGCAACAAGATTTGAAGGTTTTATCAACAAGCAATTCAGGTGTGGGTGCAAAAAGGGATTCTAATAGAAAGCTGAGGATTTACCCACAAAAAAAAAGTCGTGGTTGCGCATCAAAAATGCAATGAACACTTAATTATTTAGGTTTTCTCACCTGAAAATTTCGGAGAAAGCAAGAAACGGAAGTTTTTTAGTATACGAAATACCCTCTGGTGAACTAACATAGCAATGGAAAATCACCATTTTTAATGGGAAAATCCACTATAAATCACCATTTTCAATAGCTATGTTAGTTCACCAGAGGGTAAATGGCTCTGCACCATCAGATGAGGTTCCGGCCGTTTCAGGGATCCAAAACTTGGCACTGTCATCCCCGTCAGTTCCCCCGTCGCAAGTGACTCGCAAGTATTGCGGAGTGAGGCTCTGAAGTGAAGCAAGCGCAGATCTCAGCTGGGGGGTCTGAAAAAACACAAAGATGTGTGGAAACAGTGCAAAAACCGAGAATGAAATCGACAAAGATGCACTATAAGAGACAAGGATCTGCCAGAACTAGGAGACCTTTCGCAGAAATGTATCAAAAGAAGTGGCGTGAAGATAGGTATATTGGTGGCAAAACCATTGGTGCCTTGTGAAAAAAATGAACAGAAATGACCAGATTTGTTCATTTGGCTCAGCATTTTTCTTTTGACCAGCCATGCGCCGGCCCATCTTTGTCTGATCGCTATTAGGTCAGTTCAATCCATATGGATACCCTTTGGTAATTTAACGTAGCTATTGAAAATTGCCATTAATAGTGGATCTACCCATTAAACATGGTGATTTTCCATAGTTATGCTCGTTTACGAGAGGGTATCCATCCTCTTGTGTGAAACCACCGTGGCTGGATGGGAATCCATGGCACTTCCTCATCCCGGCGGTGTTTTCCAGGAAACTCCACGCGATGCCGCCTCTGACCATGGATCAGGCGTGGATAAATCGACAGTGGACAACAGCCAAGCCCCGCAAATGCATCGATCTGAAAATGGCGGCAAACCAGAAAGGCCAACTTAATGATGAAAATATGGAGTAACTATGGGGAAATGAAGAAAAACCCATGGATTTGGGGGGCATCCTTTTTTCAGACACACCCCAATCATAGGGAGAGTGTTGGGATGTTGGGAGAGCTTGGTTTCTCCGAAACGTGTTCATTTGGGGGGGTTCAGATTGAAATTCAGCGGCTGCCATGGATTGATCCGGTTGAATCGATGGATACCTGACATGTGCAGTTTGGCTCGAAATGTGTTGGAACTTCTGAAGTGCGACTTTTGTGACTAGATGCTTCAAGTAAATGTGGCTTTGCCCAGTGGAAAAAGGAAACACCTTGCAGTTCCAGAGTCCTCCAAAGTCCGGGACTTGCAAGTTCTAGCCCAGGAGTCCTTTGGACTCCGCTTCTTGAGGCTGGTGAACGTCCAAGGTCAAGCCTTCAAAGACCCCACCAAAACTTTGCAAACTGTAGGGATTGAAGAGGGAAGCGACCTGACTGCAGTGGCACAAGAAGAAAGAAAACTGTCAGCAACAGCAGAAGCCTTTGCCTTGTGGTACCGCGGAGCTCACAGGATCATTACATGGGGCAACCCAGTTTTTGGTGGTAACAGCTCTACAGTCCAAGAGAAGCTTAGGAATGTGCAGCAGGTTCAGGCCGCAGCCAGTGCATTTGCTGCCATTCTGGCAGATGGCTCTGTTGTGACGTGGGGCAATCCATACGGTGGTGGTGATAGCTCTGCAATGCAAAATCAGCTCTGCAGTGTGCAGCAGGTTCAGTCCACGGAGTATGCCTTTGCTGCGATCCTAGCAGACGCATCTGTCATTACCTGGGGCAACCCAGTTTTTGGTGGCGACATCTCTGCAGTCCAAGATGAGCTCAGGAATGTGCAGCAGCTTCAGGCCACAGCCGGTGCATTTGCTGCCATCCTGGCAGATGGGTCTGTCGTGACGTGGGGCGATCCACAGCGTGGTGGTGACAGCTCCAAAGTCCAAGAGCAGCTCAGGAATGTGCGTCAGGTTCAGGGCACAGACTTTGCATTTGCTGCCATCCTGGCAGATGGGTGTGTTGTGACCTGGGGCAATCCAGACCAAGGTGGTGACAGCTCCGCAGTCCAAGAGAAGCTTAGGAATGTGCAGCAGGTTCAGGCCGCAGCCAGTGCATTTGCTGCCATTCTGGCAGATGGCTCTGTTGTGACGTGGGGCAATCCATACGGTGGTGGTGATAGCTCTGCAATGCAAAATCAGCTCTGCAGTGTGCAGCAGGTTCAGTCCACGGAGTATGCCTTTGCTGCGATCCTAGCAGACGCATCTGTCATTACCTGGGGCAACCCAGTTTTTGGTGGCGACATCTCTGCAGTCCAAGATGAGCTCAGGAATGTGCAGCAGCTTCAGGCCACAGCCGGTGCATTTGCTGCCATCCTAGCAGATGGGTCTGTGGTGACGTGGGGCGATCCACAGCGTGGTGGTGACAGCTCCAAAGTCCAAGAGCAGCTCAGGAATGTGCGTCAGGTTCAGGGCACAGACTTTGCATTTGCTGCCATCCTGGCAGATGGGTCTGTTGTGACGTGGGGCCATCCAGAATTTGGTGGTGACAGCTCCGCAGTCCAAGAGAAGCTCCATTTGTTTTAAACGCGCAGGCAAAACCGTGCCGGAACAGTCAGGCATCCCAAAATTCATGACTTACTTGTAGTTTTAGGAATCATAGTGATTTGCCCCAGAATGGTTTGCGCTTATTCTCAAAGCCAAATACGGAGAAAGATGATGTCCTGAAATTGCCGCTTTCTTTGGGGATCAATTTGGTTCGCAAATTTGGGGTCTCATTGTGCGTAAATCTTTTGTAGGTGCCCAGTTAGTCAACGCTTCATTGGTCACAAGACTAATCATGATGATATTGTGGTTCAACGGTTGTCCAGTCGGGTGATGTGAAAATCCATGAAACTAAGACATGTTGAGAAAAATTCTAGTCATTCTCCAATGATTCTGGTTAAGTGGTAACTATTCTTAGGTGACCCCAAGAAACCCTTGGCCAGGTGGAGCCACACCTACGGCAACCCAGGCATCCAGGCACGGATTCACTGGTGATTCAGTCCCGAAATTCTGTGAATTCGTGATATGGGAAGTTCTCTCAGAAGCCTCGGGTGTTCCACATCCACCATCGATTTCGGCACAGGATGTTGGAATTGCAGCTCCCCGGGCTGGAAAAGAAGTTGGCCAAGTTAAGGGAGGCGACTGGGGGACGTGTAGGACTGGAGATGCTTGATATATGCTCCTAATGGTTATTCATGTATTTAGTGATGGTTGTTGGTTATGAATGGCTAAAACTATGGGATTCTAAGCTCTATAACTATCATAACTTGGGATATGGGCCCCAAAATAACTCTGGAGTAATATACTCCACTAAACATGGAGGCCGCAGCTCAGCCATGGTCAAAGTCCTCCAAGTTGCGCCGTTGAATTCGGTGATTCAATGCTTATTCACCCCTATTGTTGAAGCATTTTTCTTCGGCGGAAGCATTTGTTTCTATTCAGTTTCTTGTTCATCCCTAGGTGTTGATATTGATGGTTAGATCCCCATTTTGATTGGATGGATCCGCCTTGTTCGATGCCAGGAGCAGTCGGAAAGTGAGACGGAAAGCCCTCAGTCCGAGGTGGAACTTTGAGATTTCGGAGATTCAATAGGCTAAACGCTGGTTGTGGCCTCAAGGTGATGTAAGAGATGTTGAACAGAGCAAGGTTGGGAAGCCTGTTCCATCACCATTTCGGTTGGTTTTTAGACTTTTAAACCATCTAAACCTGTGTTTTGAATGTCGAGGCACACTCGGTTTTGGTTCGTAAATTGCCCCATACTTGAAAATTGGTTCAACCCTCCTTTTTTGGTTGGTGCAATCCGAATTGTTGCTACAATCTCCACTTACATCAAAGACAAAAAATTGATATGTACTGTATATCCCATTGTGTCCCATGAAAGCCACATTAGATAGATGAAACATATGAAAACCATATTTAACTCCCATATCCTGTTTTTGTGGAAGGTGTTACCCAAATCCGCAACGCCAGGCTCTCCCGGCCCCTCGGGGAGTGTTGGCTGCAGCGCCACCCAGCATGGCACCACCCAGTTTGCCAGGACGGGCAGGTTGGAAGATCTTGAGATCTGGGTCTGTTGGATCTTTTGGAGGGAAAAAACCCATCAACACCCTCAAGTTTTGATGGTTCACTGTCATTTTCCGAAAGTTGCCATGTCGATGCATTTCGGAGATGAAAAACGCTTGCAAGAGGATAACCATTTTACAATTGAAAGCACTTGTGTATCCCCACATTTCAGGACGTCAAGTTTCGTGGCTCACAGATTTTCAACTGCCCATAGGATTCGAAAGGAGAACAAACATGGCTAGCTGCGAGATCCACACGGAAACTTACATGGATAATCCAAAGGGCAGTTGCAGATGTATCTATATCTATTTTATATTCTATATATTAAACGAAATAATATTTTTTAATTATATGTATATATATATATACATATACAAATATGACTGGATTCACAGAGAGTGAATAAAGGGCCTGATGCACCAGGACAGCCACAGAGCGAAGCCGCCAAGGCGGAGGCAACATCGTCGATATCGCTCCACGCATCCCCAAAAAAAACCGGCTGCACGGAAGCCCCAAAACACCATGATCAGGTGACTATCGACATCTATCGAATGAAAATCCACCGAAAATCCTGCCTTTTTCGTCACCAAAGATCATTTTCGCACCGGTGCAGGCCAGCAAGTCCTCTCCAAGGCCTTCGGAGGTGCATTGACAGCAATATAGTAAGCCTTAGTAAGCGTCAAAAAGATAGAAAAGTAACTCATCACTATCTTAGTGGCTTTTGAATGGATTTTACTTTTCTAGTTGTAGTGTGATAACCCACTGTTCTATCTTCTTGGTGGGGTACCATACACCAAGCCAGAAAAAATCTGGATGATATGGTCTAAGAAAAAACTATCATGAATGAAGTTCCCTGTGACTAGTGATGTTGCTTTCCCTTGAAGCTTAAAGTCGCCAGTAAGATGAACATATAGAAACCCCAACATACGTAGAAACCATCATTTGTGTGTTGAAATTGGCAGAGTAAGAATGTCAATTCTATGCAACAACAAACAGGAAGAAACCATCATTCTAAATTTCTTCCCAGTATATAAATGTTTCCATTAAGACCAGTTGGGATTTCACATGGCCGAACCAGGTACCTCAAGCACCCTCGAAACCCAGCCTTCCTTCGAACCTTGGTGATCCGCTGGTTGGGGTTTTGCGAAAATTGGGGAGGAAAGTAACGGGATGGGCAGTTTAGTACTGCCAACCAGATGTTTGCTGCAAGGTATCCAAGATTGAGCACAAAATCTACCAGATTCCAGATGCATTCAATTTGTTCAACTTGAAAAAAATCAACTGGGGATCGCAAGCAACTGAGTAGTGGATCAGCAAGTTGGTTAGGTTCAAATGTCCAAAAGTGGGGATCACAAGCAACTTGAATTGGGAGTTCATCATCAATGGAGTGGGGTTTCAAACATCCAAAGACCAAAGGTTGGTAAATGCTGATAGTACCAACCTGTTGGGAGTGCTGGTTTCAGATTATTTATGTTCTGTGTTGGAGGTCCATGTTCAAATCCAAGAAGAGTACAGTACACCGAAACGCATTTAGCTTCCCAACGCCGCATGTCATAGCAATCTCTCGAAGCGAGCTTCTACTGGAAAGTAGTTTGACTTGAGCTCTTGGGAATGTTTGCTTGGATTTGCACAGCAGTTTCACAACCTTCTAGAAAACCTTAAAGGTTGTCCAGTTCTTAAGTTAGATGGATGCACAACATCTTCAGATTCTATGTTTTCACATTTATTTTCCGTGGGTTTTTCCATAGTTTTCCCATCTTCCCCTGAAAACTATGGATTTCCGCTTCAGGATGTCCGCCATGCGGCGTCCCTTGCCGCCGCCTCCCAAGTTGTCCAAGGAGGCAGAGGCACAGGAAAAAATTGGAAAAATTGTACTTCCCAAAACGTGTGCTCGGGATATTGATAGTTGATATTCGGGTTGTATAAATACCTATTTCATAGAACCTCTTCTGTTGATGAAATATCATCTACAAGGTGAGAGCCTCCCCGAAAGTAGGAGTTTTATATAAAAAATGATGAAATGATGTGATTTTATCGAATGTTATGGGGATATTTCATAGGATATAAGTTGATATAAGCAACAATTCATAATACCCTCCAGTGTCAAACATGGCTGGGAAATCCCGCAACTCAATGGCCAGAACGAGGAGATCATTGAACTGGGGAATGTTCCAACAAGCCATGTCTGATTACCAGATGGGTACACCTTGCTGAAGAGTAGTTTGATGGGTTTTGGTGTGCCATAAACCAGGATATATATTGACCAGCCAGCGGAAAAGGAAAAAGAAATCTTTATAGTTAGTTATATGGCTATGAACCGTGGTGAATGATTGGTGACTATGAGAGGTTTGAGAGGAAGTTGATCAGCAATATTAGGGGGAACTCAATTTTGCAGTTTTGGAGGATGAACTTGGCATTCCCCTAATAGGAATATTGTTTCAACCGACAAGAAATGAAACAGTCATATTCAAACATGAATTACTAAGAGGAGGACTCAGTACCCACAATTGTTGGTGATACAGTGATACATCCCATTCCATCTCAAAATATATCCCGTTTCATCAATGCTTAGTAAAGTCCCTACTTCGGCGTGCGACCTTTGGGATGACTTTGATGGCAATACCGGGCAAATGGGATTCTAACCTCCAGAAGTTGCGGCCGGTGCCACAGTGCCAGGTGCCAGAGCCTATCCAAGAGCAGTCGCAGTCCCTTCAGCCAGCCACGCCAGTAGCTGTTCCAGCTCCAGTGCTGGAGGAGATTGGGCTTTGGAGATGCCTGGAAGATGGTTAGGTGGAAAAAATAGGATAGTGATCTTTGAATTTTGCAGATGGAAAACTGCTTCAACTGGCAGGAGGTTGGTTTTGTTTGAAGGCCCCTAAGTCTTGCACACGTAATACTCGAAGATATTTTTTCAGGTTTCGAATTCGTCTGGTATTATTTGTAATACTCGACCGAGGATACCAATCCAAACATGACCATCACAATTCATCGTTCTATCCTGTCTTGAACTTCGCGGTTGACTGTCTGAAGAGGAGAAGCTACCTTCAAAATGTGCTGTGTTTTTTTGATAGGACATAATTCCCCACATCTTTGTGTGGGGTTCTTGTTTTTGATTCTGTATCCCTCCAGCTCCTCCTCGTCCTCCCGCTCCTCCTCCGCCAGATCTTTGTCACACACCATCTTTGTCACACTATCTTTCACACACACCATCTTTCACATACCATCTTTGTCACACACCATCTTTGTCCAACCAATCTTTGTCCCACCATCTTTCACACACACCATCTTTCACATACCATCTTTGTCACACACCATCTTTCACATACCATCTTTGTCACACACCATCTTTCACATACCATCTTTGTCACACACCATCTTTCACATACCATCTTTGTCACACACCATCTTTGTCACACTATCTTTCACACACACCATCTTTCACATACCATCTTTGTCACACACCATCTTTGTCCTGCCAATCTTGGTCACGCCATCTTTCACACACCCCATCTTTCACATACCATCTTTGTCACACACCATCTTTCACATACCATCTTTGTCACACACACCATCTTTGTCACATCATCTTTCACACACCCCATCTTTCACATACCATCTTTGTCTCACACCATCTTTCACATACCATCTTTGTCACACACCATCTTTCATATACCAGCTTTGTCACGCATCATCTTTGTCACACTATCTTTCACACACACTATCTTTCACACACACCATCTTTCACACACCATCTTTCACACACAACACCTTTGTTTTGCGTGGCAGGCGTGGCACTTACGGCTCTGGTGGCGCACTTGGGCGCGCTTGGTCGCCGGTGACGCCGCGGCACTTTGCGTGGCAGGCGTGGCACTCGGCGACATCCACCTTCGTTTCGCGTGGCAGGTGGGGCACTTGGAGGCATCCACCTTCGTTTCGCGTGGCAGGCGTGGCACTTATGGCACTGGGCTGGCTCTGGTGGCGCGCTTGGTCGCCGGTGATGCCACGGCACTTTGCGTAACAGACGTAGCACTTGGCGACATCCACCTTCGTTTCGCGTGGCGGGCGTGTCACTTGGAGGCATCCTCCTTCGTTTCGCGTAGCAGGCGTGGCACTTATGGCACTGGGCTGGCTCTGGCGGCGCGCTTGGTCGCCGGTGACGCCGCGGCACTTTGCGTGGCAGGTGGGGCACTTGGCGACATCCACCTTCGTTTCGCGATGTTTCGCGTGGCAGGTGTGGCACTTGGAGGCATCCACCTTCGTTTTGCGTGGCAAGCATGGCACTTGTGGCACTGGGCTGGCTCTGGTGGCGCGCTTGGGCGCGCTTGGTCGCCGGTGACGCCACGGCACTTTGCGTGGCAGGCGTGGCACTTGGCGACACGGTCACCGGTGACGCCGCCGCACTTTGCGTGGCAGGGGGCCACTTGGCGACATTCACCTTTGCTTCGCGTGGCAGGCGTGGCACTTGGAGCCATCGACGTTCGTTTTGCATGGCAGGCGTGGCACTAAGCACTTCTCATTTGAAGTACAGCAGCCAGAAAGTCAGTTCCCACTGGCCGTTTGTGACATGATTTCTGGTGAAAAGAGAGATGGGGCAGACCAAAATGGTTCCACAGAACTGGGTATGGGATGGTATGGGTCAATTTTCGGATCATGTGACATGCACGCGCGCATGATGAAATTGGTGGGTGAGCATCGACAAAGTGTTGACGAATCCGTGTTCAGGATGTCCGCTATGGCAACCGGAAGGTACCAGCATGAAACAACGCTATTTTCAAGTGGTTGGAAGGGGCCGCCGTTGGTGGTGGTGGCCGAAGTGGTGCAACGGCCCTGTGGTCTACCCTTTTTGTGGCAACTGCACTCACCAAGACTGACAGTCTGAAGACACAGAGAGTCTCCGCAGCAAGCAGAGGAAGAAGCTGGCACTCCACACCATGAGGTTCTTCCAGACGAGGAGATGGAAATCAACAAATCAATCTATGGTTCCCTAAATTGAAAGATCACTTTGACCCGTGTGTCCGTGTGTCCAATAGAAGTGACAAAAAGATTACAAAAAGCACCAAAGAGTATTGGGGATAATTCGGGATACTTAAGGGGAATGCAAGATGACGCTACCAAAGAACGGAGGATTTCTAAGAATTTAGGGTTGTCTCAGCTGAAGAATGCAACTGTCAAGCCACAGATCCTGCAGGAGTCACAGGAAGCTGGCACTCCACACCACGAGATGCTTCCAGAGGAAGAGGTGGATGGGGAGCTGTGGGTAGCTGCAGAGGTGGTGGTACAGGACTCGGGTTGGTTTTTATGGGTATAACTATGGGAAATGATGTTTAATATGTGTTACTGATGGTTATCAATGGCAGTTATTGATGGTTATTGACGGCAATTAATGGGTATTAATTATCGGTATAACTGCAGTCATCACCTCCATAACTTAGGATATAACGCCTACAACTTTGGTGAAATATAGCCCATAGAAATTCGTGGAATTGCACCCCCAAGTAGTCGGGTGATCTGACCGATGGCGGATGGCTTGTTCCCCATGGCATGGGGAGTCAAGCAGCTTGACTGTCGAAATCCCAATACTGGGACCATGTCCGGAAGGAGAGATATTGCCAGTGGCTCCCATAGAACGAATTAGTGGTTTCAAATTGCTATGGATCAAAACGTGTCAAGACTGAAAACCCAGAGAACTGCAGACGGGCTGAAACCATCCATGCCGGCTGGATCTCAGTCATTATCTTCCTGTAGACACCATCTCGAGAAATCGAACTTGGAGTGGGTGGATTTGGGGGGTTATTATATTTTGGAAAGGACAGCATATCCCCAAGCGTGTGTGTGAAACCTCACAATCATTGTTGGATCAAGGCCCCACATCCCCCACAGAAACACCTAGGGGGTAGCTCTAAAATCCATGTGTTCTCAGCACTTTCCCTATTCCAATGGTGGCCCATCAGCACAGGAGCCTCCAGCTGTGGAACCAGACGCGCCTCGCACTCCTCAGACTCCACAGGAAGAGACACCCGAAGTGAAGGCGCGGACAGACAACTTTGGATCCTGTGGCGGAAACTATGATTCAACCACCGAACGACAGGGATGGAACCAACAAACAATTGGAACCAAGAAAAGCCGAACCCCATTTTACCCAGGCATAGGTGATAAATAGCCTGAAAGGGGGTTTATGCTATTGGGTTTACCACATTAGTTTAGTTGCAAACTTTCCCATTCGCAACTAATTCATAAACGAATTCTTTTTTATTGGGCGATGATTTCATATTGTCCATTGGATTTTGGGTTTACCATCCCCAAAGTGTGGAAATGTCCCCATGAACTTCCTCTACACTCCAGGGTTTTCCCACGGCCTCAGGCACCGCAAGAACCGGAGCAAGTGCCCAGCACACCATCGACACCAGCATCTAAGATGTCCAAGGAGAAAAATGACGGAAAACTGCGCGTGTGTGTGTGTGTAACCAACCATTTTTAAGGTAAAAAATGGAGGTTTCCTACAATGGTATCCCAAGTCACCATGGGTTTTAATACACTGGTCATCCATGACTTGGATGATTTGGGGCACCCCTATTTTAGGAAACAACCATATGGGAATATACAATGGGATAGAATGTAATATCGATGTTATAATGATGTATATACAGATATGGGTGTGACACATATAAGCCAACAATTTGTGATTTGGGTGTGTCTAACAATGGGTGGTTCCCCCATGCTTTTTCAATGTAGACTGCAAATATGGTGATAAACCATGTTGTGACATGGAGGTATCCTATTAAATGGAGGTGCCCTATTCAATGTAGTCGGTTAAATCATTCTGCGTTGGGATCTGTCTTGATGTATCGGTTCAATAGGTTCTGCCAAGCCCCACTCTGAACTTGAGTCGTATCCTGTATGTACACCACACAGCCAATTCCCAGTTCTCAGTGCATTTATACCCCTTGTGCAACAGATTTACTATGCAAATTTCATTGGATGCATGTCATTCAAACACCATAAGGCTTGACCGCAGGATTGTTGCATTACAAGGCAGCTGAGATATCCTGGGTACCTTCCCAGTGCTAACTACAGACAACTGATTTGTACCACATATGTATCATAATATATATATATATATTTATATATATATATCATACAACAGCTCATACCCCATCAATTCCAATAAATGTCGAGTCCCGACTCCGGATTAGACCGGGACGTCGACCACCATGGAGCAGTAGGGTGTGCATCAGGAACTGATGGATGCCCTGATGTTGAGTCAGCCTTCAACTCTTCCTCTAGATCGAATGGATCCAACGAGATCTGACAGAAGGCAACAAAGCAGAAATGTGACAGATGGAGACTTCAGTCGAGAAGGGCTCTTCAGGCAACTGCTTGCTGCGCAGGCAACTGTTGTCCTGAAAAGTTTGTCCAGAAATGTGGTACCTCTAACTCCATCCCTCAATCATGATTTCCTCATTAGAGATTGCCATAATTTAGCGGTAGATCCCCTATGTTCAGTCACACCCATGTGTCCATTTTTGTAGGTTGAAATTCGAATGTTGGGGTTTGATTTGGCTCTTTAGATCCCCCCCCATTTGAACACCCATATCGGTGATCAGAATAGAACCCATTGTAGCCCTACATCCCAATAAGTAACCCCGGGATTATTATATACAATAACCCATTTTTTTTTAATTCCATAACGTATGTATGCATATATATATATACATACATTATATATATATAATGATAAAACCACATATATAGTAAACCCCATTATTAATATTCCCATTGAGATGGCCATCTAAAACTATCTAAAACTATCCCCTTCTGCAGGACGAATCTCCCAGCGGAGCGCCCAAGTTGTCGTCCTGGCTTACGGACATGAGGCACCACTTTTGTAACGTTGCGGAGGTCACCGGTTTTAATGTGCATATAATGGGATAGAACCAGATATAACCAACTTGGTGGATCTTTCGCAACAGGATTAACTAGTTTGGATTTATGGTATATGAAATTTGTGGGATGTGATGTTTGATTAGTGGGATATGAAACCTGGACGGGATATGAAGCCCAGTGACCATCCTCCGATTTTCCTAGCTACTTGGGATGATGAGGAAAATCCTTCCACAAATCTCATGGCGGTCCGAGAATGCAAGGGGATACATCTAGCTTGTGCCCCAGAGTTATCAACAGTTGGCCCAGGTCGGCATGTTCTTTTTGACAGGTCTGTCCCTAAGGTTGTCAATGACATTCCCATGACCCAAAGGGTCTTCTCCCCCGAAACAGAAAACGCCGTGAATCCCGGCCAGGTCGCGTATGGCCAATAAGCAGGCGGCAGAAAGCAAGGAAGTGCAGGTGGCTTCACTGCTGAGCTGACAGCGTCCCTTTATACTGGCTAATCAATAACATTTCCCAGTTCATGCCACAATTTATTGAATATTACAATGCTCTAGAATCATCAACCAACGGGGTCTTTGAACACTGCTCACCAAAGCTCGTTAGAAAACTCCCACATCCAGTGGTTTTTCACATCATCTTCTTCATTAATATTGCCACAATTTCGGGCAAACCGGGCAAGTCTGTATGGCAGTGATCGTATGGGTGTAGGTCAAAGACAGAAAAGGTGTTTTTTGAGCAATAGATCCAAATTTGGAAAGTTGCCCCAGATTCTGTATTTAGACGCACATCCTGGTCCATTCTGTTCATCGATCCAACGTTCACCTGAATGCCAACGTGATGGCCCACATCCAGAGCGGCAATCCAGAGTATGAAATATCTCCTTTATCAGTAACCCGTGACTCTCCGGTACCCAATCCAGGGGTTCAGCAGTTGCATTGCAGGAGAAGCCGGAGAAGCCGGCGGCTTCAACCAGCAAGTTCGTGGCAAAGCTCAGCCGATGCTTTCACGGAAGGTAACGACCCAGCGAAATGCCTATCTTTTAGTTGGCGAAATGGTTTCGATGAAATAAAGAACAACTGGTGGTGGGAACGTTTCAGCAGCCTAAATCGGATACAACCAACAAGCCATGGAAGACTTGGTGAAGATCTCTATGTTTGTCACTAAGTGGATTTATTTCAGAGACACCATGAATTCACTTGAGAAGCTCCCTTGCAACTGCGATCACACTTAGTTCCACTGCCTTCCAAATGGATGACCAACTCCGTCGACCAACAGTCTAACTGAGTCTAGCTGAGTCTAACTAGCTTGATTTGCTTGGTCAATGGTCAACAGATTACTATCTATCTCTATATCTCTATATATATATTGCCCTTGAATGGAAAAATATTGCAAAAAGGTGTAAAAACTCCACCTGTCGGTATCTAAGGTTCCCCATTAGAACTCAACCACCCCACCAGGCCCCACCAGCGAATAAGGCGCCGTCATCTTCACTGCGGCCATCTGGAAAGTGCCATGGAAGATATGTGGGGAAGGGATGCACGGGGATATCCCACAATGATGGGCCCATACTGTAGGTTGCAGATATTGATGCGAGTCACTTCCCAATTTTTGGGGGTTCACCCCTTGGAGTTGATTGGTATACAATCGGGGACCTTTATAGTCAGCCACATTTCTTCATAGGGTACGGCCCAACTATACAGGTCAAGGTTGGTGGTTGGTTGGTTTGAGCTAGTTCTTAGTTCTCCGTCCTTGTGACTATCTCCCACGGATTCCACGTTAGGAAGACATGTTTCATTTGCGGATGATGCTGAAGCCGGCTGGGACGACTTGAAAGGCAGGGAGCATTTCATCCTTCAACCGGCCAGACCTGTGTCTTGTCGCACCCCGAGGCTGACGAAACCGCCGAAGCCACCCCCAAAGCCCAGCGCAGCGGCTTCGCCACCCGCAGCTGCCGAAACCGCAGCACCCACGGAGATCGAGGCAACTGGGCGACGACTGGGGTCAGGTGGAGGGTGATCCCTTGAACTGGCTGATTGATGATAGGGTTTCCCATAAATGTTTGAATATTACAATGGGAATATGGATAGTGGGAATAACAATGAATAATTGTGATGATCGAGAGGATTTCTATCAAAATACGGTCTTTCCATGATTGGAGTATTGATCACTATCAACCTGTATACTTGGATTCCCATATATTGGATAATGACAATCTCCGAATTGGATAGCATAATCACACCATGTAATCATCAACCAGCGGTGTCTCGCAGTGCCCAGTTGCTGGTGATTTGACCAAGTGAGTCCATTGCTGGTTGGCATGCACGATTTGTTAACACTCATACAGTGATACACGCAAAACAGGGGGAGGGATTGCCGGTGAAAACGGTCACCGGGCTTTTTGAATGATTTCCAAAGCTTCAGCAATCAACCAAGCTTAAGATCTCCAGGAGATGGTTTTTGCCAAGATCTGTAAAGATTCTGGCTTAAGTCCCCAGTTAAACCCTATTTCTGATAGCTAAAATCACCAAAAGTGGTCTGAATCCCAATCCTTGCTGGGTAAATCCCCAACCGAAACTCCAGGTTGCACCAGCTGTGCCACCTTTGGCATTGCCAACTGTGGAGGATCGGCCGTGCGGCCCTGCTGAGATGTGTTTTCTTTTTCAAATGGGGATTGAGCCAAGAGGAACGAGGGATTTCACTAGCGAAAATGGTGACTGCAACACCAAACATGAATTTTGAGCTCTTAAAATGAGCGGCTCCACATGATTTCAGCATCAAAAATGATGATATTCATCAACCAAAATGGGGATTTGAGGCATCAGAAATGGTGGCTAGACTAGCGAGCACACTGTGTATTTCTAATCTCCCAGGAATGACAAACAATTCGAAAAAATATGGAACCCAACAAAAACAACCGGAAAAGAAAGAACATGGAACCCAGAAACGGCCATGTCCAGTGGAATTTTAGCACCTTCGAAACCAATTTCGATGTTGGCTTTTGGGGGGTTCTGCGGATGCCAAAGTTTGCTGAGAACCCACAGCGTGGTCTTTGATGGGACAGTCTTGCATATCACTACACCAGGGGGCCATGAACCAAAGACATTTGGCCTGAAATATTCAATTCATCAGAATCCTCTTCCTAGCTATTTACACCAGTTCTGGATAGATCCTCAGAAAACTGGACCTGGAGACATGTGCTATACACATGTGCTACAAAGGTGTACTATTGATTTTTCGATTGAAGCGTTGGTGATGTTCAGCTCCAGTTCCCCTGTCCCATCCAGGAAGAGCCAACTGCGGGCATCGTCAGGCCGGGAAGTCATCATTGGTGCCCTAGAGGATAGGAAAATAACGGATGAATAAAATTGTGTACAAAATCCTGCAGCTAAATGCTGTCCCAAACGATATGTTGTGTCCTGATAATGATTGGCCTGCTCACCTGCATGTTGAAATCATATATCCTCAAAGACCCAGCACTGTCATGATGAAGAGGCATGGAGTTGCGATGGTTTTGATCTGGCCGCTGTTGAAAATAAACTCAATATAGTGCATAAAGAAGTTTTGCCAGTACCTTCTAGTAGTTGTTTTCTGATCCACCAACAGAGTTTTTCGTGTTATCAATGGTTTGTTTGCATCCATGATGACACTCAACTACACTACACAGATGGTGAATGGACACTATTCATCAGCCCATGATGCCATGGATGTTGAAAAACTGCGTTCCTAACCTGTTGAGTTCGCGGCTCAACGCTAGGTGCTTTCGTGGCAACGCTTCTGGACGGGTGGGGTGAACTTTCTGGGTGGGGCCGGTGCCCCCAACAGGTTAGGAGCTGTATGTTCTTGCGCACGTGGAGGTTTGGAATGTCAACAATTTGGGGTTCAAGATGCAAACTCAGAATGGAGAGGTTTCCAGATGTTTCGAACCCAGAAATCATTGCTCCGTCCGGAATCAAAGCGTTTTGCCAGTGAATATTTCACAGCTTTTTCCTGGTCCCGTGATCGTTGGTGACAATCTGATGTTTCTTGCTGAAACCATTCATATTGGGACATAAATCGCATTGAATCATCACATCATATAATAAACCTGGTAAGAAAACGTTTTCAATCATAGAAACCAAATCCTCCCATACAAACCGCAAAGCATGCTGAAAAGCGGCTGAATCCTGGATCCGTCCCATCCCAGGAATCTCTTCCAAGGCTTCAGCGGGCGAGCAAAGCACCCAAAGCACCGCAGAACAGGAACCAGGTGGGCATCGATGTCCATGGAGCACTACCTAAATCAGGTGGTAAAAAATCACCCCAGGATCACTGGTTTGTGCGGGATTCCTCAGTTATATGTAGAATAATCCAGGATTTAGATGGATTTGGGACCTAACCAAGGTCATTAATGACGATTCATGGGAGGATTTTCAGGTGTGTGAAACCTTGTGAAAATGGAGCGCAAACGCCAAAATTGTGATTTTGCGACCCAACTTGAGGATTCACGTAAGAAAAATGCTGGTTGAACCCACACAAAATTGGAACGGGTATTCAAGTAGGTAGTGCTTCACCGGTAGTGGAACTTTTGTAGGTGAAAAATGTGTTCAAGCTGTTCGGATCAGCAAATTTCAAGGCGGTAGTCTTGCCAGAAGTGATTGCAGGTAATTAGTGAGAGGCAACAACGCCATCAAAAGTCTGATGACATTCACGAAAACCTATGTTGACTCTACAGAAAATCTTCCAACATGGGGGCGCTCATGGATTTTCAAGTTTTTCAAGTGTCATCTTTGGGGTGAATTTGGGTGCCTTCCTTGGAGGTGACGAGCCCAAGCAAGTGGAGGCTGCTGGGGATGTGATGCGAAGAATGGGATGCAAATACCAGCTGACCATCCAAACTGAGGGAACCTCAAGCAGGTCAACTTGGTCAACTTGGTCAACTCAAGATTCTCTTGACAGAATTTGCCAATTTTGTGTCAGGTGATGTGCAAGTTGTCAAGATGAGTCAAGGGTACTTCATACTTCAGGGTGTTACATCTCATGATTCCTGGGAGAGGTGCCCTTGTCAGATCGATTGGGTCAGTCGATGTGATGCCCAAAACCCCTGATGGTTGGAGGTCAAAGTTTTTTCAAATATTTTCATCATAATTTCATCATATACTTGTTACTGAATCTGTATACTTGATTTAAAGGAGATTGTGATTCTCCAACATGGAAGGCTCCATCAGTCAAGCAGGTTTGGGGATGACAGAGGGTGAATTGGGCGTTGTTCATGTCTAGTCTTGGATGTCATTCACTCATATCCAAAATTCCCCGGAAAGTGGATCTTTGAAGGGTCCAGCAGCAGTTGCGATCAGGGAAGGAGATCATCTTCCGATTGGGACTGCTGCGTATCATTCCGAAGCCATGGATGTCCCATGCCACCGGAGGCGGTTTCCAGCGAAACCTCACAGGGTGAAGGAGGCAGTCTCTCCTTGCCGCCCAATTTCACTGCTCAGCCGACATCTCAGGGGATTTACAAAGGGATTTAATCATCCACAAAGGGAAATCATGAGTATATCAGTATATGATACAATATATGATAGTATATGTTTATGATAACAATTATCAACTGCTGGTTTCAAATATTTGATCTGTTCAAACGGCATGAAGGAGCAAAATTGACTTTCATCTCAAAATCCTATTGGGACCGAATCGACATTGAGATTTTTCAGGTTGAAACCATGTCCCAAGAGTAGACCCAATCTGATGCCGTCGCAGCGTGCCGGCTCTAGCAGGTCTTCAGGAAGTCTACTATGAGGGCATCCTGCATAGCATTTGATGATTGTTTAGTGAATCAGGTGGTGCCACACTCGCAATGATGACATGACATCAATGTGATCTTCCCAAAGGCACTCAGTCACCACAGTCACCACGATCCACAGATAATCCACAGATTCTCGGTGAAACATGGTGAAACTCTGTCAGTGAAGGATCCACTCCACAGGATCCCGCAGCAGCCATGATCTCCAAGCACCTTGGCATCCGACAGATCCGACAGTTGCGGTGCCCTTTGCAGCGGTGCCAAGGTCTGTGCTGTTCGCAAGCAACGCTCTTGGTTTGAAGTCTTCAGGTTCTTTTTTGGTTCCATAACTTGCTGTGAAGGTACCCTGATTTCACATGTTCATGTTTCACTGTACCATGAACTCGGGGTTGAAGCCAGGCCACATCGCTTCACCCCTAGCAATATTCCCAGAAAGCTGGCTCCCACTGACCTGGTTTCAAGGATGCTTAAGGATGCTTAGTGGGTGTTCATCGATTCGGATGACTTTTGGAGGGTAAGATTGGAAGTTTCACAGAGAGCGCGCCAACTCGGTGCCCAGGATGATGGGTTCGCTGACCAAGCCCTTCCCGGCATGTCATTTGGCCCACAACGTTCGAGATATCGGCCAGCATTAGCTACACACCCTTCGAATTGCACGACACTGGTGGATTTCATACTATTAACCAGCATTAGAAAATATTATCCATCAATAGTGGGTTTTGTGGCCAGATGATATTTGTTCTTACTATAAATATATATATATATAAATTTGATATATCATTTATTGTACGATATTGTAAATTGTAAATATCCTCATCCCATGATATCCCATAGCCAGGAAGAAGGAGCCGGCAGCTGCACCAGTTGCAGCCACACCGCTGGCGGCACCGGAGGCGGCACCGGTGACGGCCGTGATTTTGGAGGCGAGTTCCAGTGGAGTTCGGCCGCACCATGCAGCTCAAGACTGATAGCGTTGGCAGATCACAGAAAGAGGTGTTCTTTTTCCAAGGTGGGCGAGCCTCTAAAGTATGTACTCCTTGGACTATTACAACAAAAAGTACTTACTGTAATGTGTTTTGATGTTCCCTTTTTGCCATATCCATATCTGAGCAAATGTTGCTTAGATACCCAATTCTTACTGAAAGGTTTCTCCCCATACAGCCCCGCAATTGTTGGTTGTCGATCCCGATGTTTGGCCCATGTCCCTGTAGGGGATGTTGCTACCCGCATGTTTATTGCTTATATCATCTTTATTCCCATGTCACTTGATAAGACCATCATATTTACATACATTTGCTACTTAAGCATTTGCGGCTAGATGAGCATCTCATTTCTTTCATTGATATACTATCCCAGTTTTTTGCTGGTTGATGCGATTGCTTTTGGTAGTGATCACCTATTTCCTTTTGCTTAATATCCCCATGCTCCTTTGTTAAGCTTCCGAACAGTTTATGGTTGTCCCCACATCCCTTGGTGCGCAAATCCGTGACCCAATGTTTGATGCCACAGCACCCCCATGTTTTTTGGCCGAAGGAAGTTTAGAAGTCAAACTTCCGACAATATGGACAGATGAAAAGCAGAGATGGAAAGGGTCAGAGAGAAGAGAAAGAGTTAGAAGAAAGAAGATGCAGATGCGCGAAAAGGTAGGAAAGTCGCGATTTATTGTGTTTTTCCAGTGATTTGTGGCCCGGAGGTCGAAAAGTAGACTCGCTGAAGCGGCGGGTGCGGAGCCAGCTGGCCAGATGAGAGATGAAAAATTGCACGCCGTTGTGGCGCGAAGCACATTTCGAAGTCAAAATGCACAAAACACACCACGTTCGGACCACTTTTGGAAGTTGAGATGTCGAAAAAGTGCACGCTGTTGTGGCGCCAAGCACATTTCCAAGTCAAAATGCACAAAACACACCAAGTTAGGACCACTTTTGGAAGTTGAGATGTCGAAAAAGTGCATGCCGTTGTGGTGCGAAGCACATTTCCAAGTCAAAATGTACAAAACACACCACGTTCGGACCACTTTTGGAAGTTGAGATGTCGAAAAAGTGCACGTCGTTGTGGCGCGAAGCACATTTCCAAGTCAAAATGTCTAAAACACACCAGCTCCGGACCACTTTTGGAAGTTAAGATGTCGAACTAGACGACGGTTGGCCCGAGAGCGAAAAACACGTTTTTCAAGCAGCTCTGAGGATGGTAGTCGTAAAAGATAGTCGGTGAATAGTTGGTGAATTTTATATGAGCTATGGCAGGATATGGTGTGAAAAAGGTAAGATTGATCAAGAAGAGAATATTTGGTAAAGGGCATCAGATGACATGTGTCTTGCAACCACAGAGAGAAAGAGGGGGGAGAGAGAGAGAGAGAGGGAGAAAGAGAGAGAGAGAGAGAAAGAGAAAGCAAGAGAGAGAGAGAGAGAATGAAAGGGGGGTGTAGAAAGAAAACATGGAGAAATGTAATGTGAGCAACAAAAGTGCACAGGAGGCTCGGTACCATGAGTCTGCGAATGACATGTGTTATCTCATTTTATTACATTAGTCTGCGAATGACATGAGTCTGCGACACTGCGATATGGCACCCCAAAAATATTTGCACACAGACACGTTTACACGCAGAAGCTTTTACATCTAGACGCTTTTACACACAGACGCTTTTACACACAGACGCTTTCACACACAGATATTTTTACACACAGACGCTTTCACACACAGATGCTTTTACACACAGAAACTCCTGTACATACAGACGCTTTTACACAGACACTTTTTCACACAGACGCTTTTACACGCAGACGCTTTCACACACAGACACTTTTACGCACAGACCCTTTTACACACAGAAGCTTTTACACACAAGACTTTTACACAAAGACGCTTTTACACACAGACGCTTTCACACACAGACGCTTTTACGCAAAGACCCTTTTACACACAGAAGCTTTTACACACAAGAGCTTTTACGCACAGACCCTTTTACACACAGAACCTTTTACACACAAGAGCTTTTAAACAAAGACGCTTTTACACACAGACGCTTTCACACACAGACGCTTTTACGCACAGACCCTTTTACACACAGAAGCTTTTACACACAAGAGCTTTTACGCACAGACCCTTTTACACACAGAAGCTTTTACAGACAAGAGCTTTTACAAAAAGACGCTTTTACACACAGACGCTTTCATTTTCCTCAGTTTTTGACGTTCAACGTCCATTTCGTGCGAAAGGGTTGCAAAGTGACACCTTTTTTCGCAATTTTCCTCAGTTTTTGACGTTCAACGTCCATTTCGTGCGAAAGGGTTGCAGAGTGACACCTTTTTTCGCAATTTTTCCACAGTTTTTGACGTTCAACGTCCATTTCGTGCGAAAGGATTGCCCGGGACACCTTTTTTCGCAATTTTTCCTCAGTTTTTGACGTCTAACGTCCATTTCGTGCGAAAGGGTTGCAGAGTGACACCTTTTTTCGCAATTTTTCCACAGTTTTTGACGTTCAACGTCCATTTCGTGCGAAAGGATTGCCCGGGGACACCTTTTTTCGCAATTTTTCCTCAGTTTTTGACGTCCAACGTCCATTTCGTGCGAAAGGGTTGCGTTTCGTGGCGCTCCGGCGGCACCGCCCCCGCCTTAAGAGAGAAATAGAAAGAAGAGCAAGAGGAGATCTGCGGATGTGAAGGTGTGAAGATGTAGATCTGCAGATGTGAGGGTGTGAAGATGTGGATCTGCAGGTGTGAAGGCGTGAAGATGTAGATCTGCAGATGTGAGGGTGTGAAGATGTAGATCTGCAGATGTGAGGGAGTGAAGACGTAGATCTGCAGATGTGAGGGTGTGAAGATCTAGATCTGCAGGTGTGAGGGTGTGAAGATGTAGATCTGCAGGTGTGAGGGTGTGAAGATGTAGATCAGCAGATGTGAGGGTGTGAAGATGTAGATCAGCATATGTGAGGGTGTGAAGATGTAGATCAGCAGATGTGAAGGTATGAAGATGTAGATCTGCAGGTGTGAAGGTGTGAAGATGTAGATCAGCAGGTGTGAGGGTGTGAAGATGTAGATCAGCAGGTGTGAGGGTGTGAAGATGTAGATCAGCAGATGTGAGGGTGTGAAGATGTAGATCTGCAGGTGTGAAGGTGTGAAGATGTAGATCAGCAGATGTAAAGGTGTGAAGATGTAGATCAGCAGGTGTGAAGGTGTGAAGATGTAGTATAACGGCTGCTTTTTTACGAAGAACCCTTCGCAGGCGCTCTCGGGAAAAATTGCGATTTAAATTGTCCGGCGGCAACCCTTTCGCACGAAATGGACGTTGGACGTCAAAAACTGAGGAAAAATTGCGAGTTTACTTTGTCCATCGCGACCCTTTCGCACGAAATGGACGTTGGACGTCAAAAACTGAGGAAAAATTGTGAGTTTACTTTGTCCATCGCGACCCTTTTGCACGAAATGGATGTGGACGTCAAAAACTGAGGCAAAATTGTGAGTTTACTTTGTCCATCACGACCCTTTCGCACGAAATGGACGTTGGACGTCAAAAACTGAGGAAAAATTGCGAAAAAAGGTGTCCCCGGGCAATCCTTTCGCACGAAATGGACGTTGAACGTCAAAAACTGTGGAAAAATTGCGAAAAAAGGTGTCACTCTGCAACCCTTTCGCACGAAATGGACGTTGGACGTCAAAAACTGAGGAAAAATTGCGAAAAAAGGTGTCCCCGGGCAATCCTTTCGCACGAAATGGACGTTGAACGTCAAAAACTGTGGAAAAATTGCGAAAAAAGGTGTCACTCTGCAACCCTTTCGCACGAAATGGACGTTGAACGTCAAAAACTGAGGAAAATGAAAGCGTCTGTGTGTAAAAGCGTCTTTTTGTAAAAGCTCTTGTGTGTAAAAGCTTCTGTGTGTAAAAGGGTCTGTGCGTAAAAGCTCTTGTGTGTAAAAGCTTCTGTGTGTAAAAGGGTCTGTGCGTAAAAGCGTCTGTGTGTGAAAGCGTCTGTGTGTAAAAGCGTCTTTGTTTAAAAGCTGTTGTGTGTAAAAGCTTCTGTGTGTAAAAGGGTCTGTGCGTAAAAGCTCTTGTGTGTAAAAGCTTCTGTGTGTAAAAGGGTCTGTGCGTAAAAGCGTCTGTGTGTGAAAGCGTCTGTGTGTAAAAGCGTCTTTGTGTAAAAGTTCTTGTGTGTAAAAGCTTCTGTGTGTAAAAGGGTCTGTGTAAAAGTGTCTGTATGTACAGGAGTTTCTGTGTGTAAAAGCATCTGTGTGTGAAAGCGTCTGTGTGTAAAAATATCTGTGTGTGAAAGCGTCTGTGTGTAAAAGCGTCTGTGTGCAAAAGCGTCTAGATGTAAAAGCTTCTGCATGTAAACGTGTCTGTGTGCAAATATTTTTGGGGTGCCATATCGCAGTGTCGCAGACTCATGTCATTCGCAGACTAATGTAATAAAATGAGATAACACATGTCATTCGCAGACTCATGGTCCCGAGCCTCCTGTGCACTTTTGTTGCTCACATTACATTTCTCCATGTTTTCTTTCTACACCCCCCTTTCATTCTCTCTCTCTCTCTCTCTCGCTCTCTCTCTCTCTTGCTTTCTCTTTCTCTCTCTCTCTCTCTCTCTCTCTTTCTCCCTCTCTCTCTCTCCCCCCTCTTTCTCTCTGTGGTTGCAAGACACATGTCATCTGATGCCCTTTACCAAATATTCTCTTCTTGATCAATCTTACCTTTTTCACACCATATCCTGCCATAGCTCATATAAAATTCACCAACTATTCACCGACTATCTTTTACGACTACCATCCTCAGAGCTGCTTGAAAAACGTGTTTTTCGCTCTCGGGCCAACCGTCGTCTAGTTCCTCAGTTTTTGACGTCCAACGTCCATTTCGTGCGAAAGGGTTGCGTTTCGTGGCGCTCCGGCGGCACCGCCCCCGCCTTAAGAGAGAAATAGAAAGAAGAGCGAGAGGAGATCTGCAGATGTGAAGGTGTGAAGATATAGATCTGCAGATGTGAGGGTGTGAAGATGTGGATCTGCAGGTGTGAAGGTGTGAAGATGTAGATCTGCAGATGTGAGGGTGTGAAGATGTAGATCTGCAGATGTGAGGGTGTGAAGATGTGGATCTGCAGGTGTGAAGGTGTGAAGATCTAGATCTGCAGATGTGAGGGTGTAAAGATGTAGATCTGCAGATGTGAGGGTGTGAAGATGTAGATCTGCAGATGTGAGGGTGTGAAGATCTAGATCTGCAGGTGTGAGGGTGTGAAGATGTAGATCTGCAGGTGTGAGGGTGTGAAGATGTAGATCAGCAGATGTGAGGGTGTGAAGATGTAGATCTGCAGGTGTGAAGGTGTGAAGATGTAGATCAGCAGGTGTGAGGGTGTGAAGATGTAGATCAGCAGGTGTGAGGGTGTGAAGATGTAGATCAGCAGATGTGAGGGTGTGAAGGTGTAGATCTGCAGGTGTGAAGGTGTGAAGATGTAGATCAGCAGATGTAAAGGTGTGAAGATGTAGATCAGCAGGTGTGAAGGTGTGAAGATGTAGTATAACGGCTGCTTTTTTACGAAGAACCCTTCGCAGGCGCTCTCGGGAAAAAGTGCACGCCGTTGTGGCGCGAAGCACATTTCGAAGTCAAAATGTTAAAAACACCAGGGGTTGGGCCACTTTTGGAAGTTGAGATGTCGAAAAAGTGCACGCCGTTGTGGCGCAAAGCACATTTCGAAGTCAAAATGTTAAAAACATCAGGGTCTCGGACCACTTTTGGAGGTTCAGATGTCGAAAAAGTTCACGCCGTTGTGGCGCGAAGCACATTTCGAAGTCAAAATGTTAAAAACACTAGGGGTTCGGAATATTTTTGGAGGCTCAGATGTCGTTTCGCGTGGCAGGCGCAAGAGATTGTGCAGCTTGTCAAAAGTGAGCAAAACATGAGGGTTTTGTAGCATTTCGAAAAACGATGGCAGGCATGGGACATCTGAAGATGATCTGCAAAGATGCATTTTCCGTGGCAGGCGCAATACAAAAGACATGTTCATGAAGCACATTTCCAAGTCAAAATGTACAAAACACACCACGTTCGGACCACTTTTGGAAGTTGAGATGTCGAAAAAGTGCACGTCGTTGTGGCGCGAAGCACATTTCGAAGTCAAAATGTTAAAAACATCAGGGTCTCGGACCACTTTTGGAAGTTAAGATATCGAAAAAGTGCACGCCGTTTTGGCGCGACGCACATTTCCAGGTCAAAATGTTAAAAACATTAGGGGTTCGGACCACTTTTGGAGGTTCAGATGTCGAGAAAAGTGCACGCCGTTGTGGCGCGAAGCACATTTCGCAGTCAAAATGTTAAAAAACACCAGGGGTTCGGACCACTTTTGGAGGTTCAGATGTCGAGAAAAGTGCACGCCGTTGCGGCGCGAAGCACATTTCGCAGTCAAAATGTTAAAAAACACCAGGGGTTCGGTCCACTTTTGGAGGTTCAGATGTCGCTTCGCGTGGCAGGCGCAAGGGATTGTGCACCTTGTCAAACGTGAGCAAAACGTGCAGGTTTTGTAGCATTTTCAACTACAACCACCACTACACCACACTACACTCCAATACATTACACTACACTCCACAACACTACAACTACAACTACTCCACTAGACTAAATTACACTCCACTACACTAAATTACACTACACTACAATACACTCCACTACACTGAACTACATTACACTACACGACACTACCTTCCACTACATTACATTACACTACACTCCACTCCACTACACTACACTATTACACTACACTACACTACCTTCCACTACAATTCACTACACTACACTACACTACACTCCACTACACCACAACTACAACTACAGCTACACAACTACATTCCACTACACTCCACTACACTAAACTACACTAAACTACACTACACTACATTACACTACACTACACTCCACTACACTACATTACACTACACTACACTACCTTCCACTACACTTCACTACATTACACTACACTCCACTACACTACAACTACAACTACACAACTACACAACTACACAACTACACTCCACTACACTCCACTACATTAAATTACACTACGCTACATTACACTACACTACACTACATTCCACTACACTCCACTACACCACACTACATTACACTACACTACATTACACTGAATGACACTGCACCACAGATAGACAGGTAGACAGATAGATAGATAGATAGATAGACAGACAGATACACAGGTAGACAGCTAGACAGATAGACAGATGAAAGAGAGAGATAGATAAATAGATAGATAGATAGATGGATAGATAGATCGATCGATAGATAGATAGGTAATTAGATGAAAGAGAGAGAGAGAGAGATAGATCGATAGATAAATAGATACATAGATAGATAGATAGATAGATAGGTAGGGAGGTAGGTAGATAGTAGAGAAAGAGAGAGAAAGAGAGGAGACCTCAAGCACCTTTCGGTCCATCAGTGGCTTCGCTCTGCCATCCCTGATTCACAACAACCAACCTCTCCTATAGGTTTCCTATGTTTGAAACTTCCGCCACCGCCTTGTGCGGTACTACTGGTATATCCGAGTCTTCGTGAATATCCTCATTGGCTGATATTGTTCTCCAGATTCTCCATGTTTAATGGCTAAAATACCCTTGTTTTGTACCGAAAATCACCTTCGTCTATCCCGCTGGACCCAGGACGCTGATGAGTCCTTTGCAGATGGCCGCATCCTCCAGGTTGGGGAGGACACTGAAGCTGGTCAGGTGGCTTTCAGAGATGAAGAATCCAAAAATGGGGAGCGACTTTCAGTTGTTGGAGCCCAGTGAACCCCCATAATACGGGGAAGAAATGGGTTGACGAAGGATGGCCCAAAGGAAAAGGATGGACAAGAATCATAATTGAAGTGACCAATATGTGTTGACTTGTGTTTGAACCAGACTACAAAGCAATTCCCTGAACATCTTATCACTGCTTGAGGCCTAGTGACAACAAACAGGCTTTACAAGCCCCTGACTTGCAAGTATTTTAGTGCGGACAGATTTGGGCCCTTCAATTCTGCATTTGTATTTTGAAAATTGGGCCCTTGAAAAGAAATCCACTGACAGTTGCTCATTTGAACAATATCTGAAGTGTTTGCAGATCCACCGGAGTTATTTCCATCATTCCATCATCTCAGGGTTTTGTGCACTGTGCCTGCAGGATAGCATGTCGGATCCTGAGCACAGCTGGCATAGCTCAGTGATGCTTTGTGTGATTTAGCATTGCAGCGTCGCTTCAGGTTGGATTTGGGAGAACAAGATCACATCTGCGGCGTCTCCAGTGAAGTAGTTCGAGCATCTTGGCACAAACCGTTGGCCAAGGAAGGTGTGGAGATTCGATGAAGTGGATGTGAGAGATACTCGACACTAAATTATACAACGATATGCAACATAAGTATGGAAAACCGTGAGTTTCCCGAGAATCTGTTGATTTTGCTGTATCTCACCATCCAAGGCTCTGCCGAGCTACCCTTTGGAGGAGCTCGAGTCAGGTGCCAAAGATTGCTGCCCGGTGGTTGACCCTTCTGTTTTTCGACGATTTCTTTACTGGGAATGTGTGATAAACCATGATAAACTTTGATAAACCGATGTTTTCCACTGTGATCTGTTGAGAATAGATCAACTGAATCAATTGTCCTCCCCTCTCCTAAGCAGAATCCTGATGGGCTGTGCCACTGAGGAAGGATGCAGCACCATGCACCATTTGCCAGGCCGTGGGTGGGGGTAGAAGCTGTCATGATGACCCATTGGGGGCACACTTTGAATTTCTATTTTTACCATCCACAAGCTCACTAGTTATTAGCTTATGTTTTAAGCTAACTTACTGTGATTTTCCATTTGTTCTACTTGGATCCATATGGCCTTCACTTCCCGCAGGAGGCCTTCGCGATCGGCGATATGTTGAAAGAACTTCCATGTCAGCATCGGTTTCATCAAGGCGACGGAACGAGATGTCCTTGCGAAATATGAATCGTATCTCAACCTGGAGAAAAATGTGATTGCTTGTGATTGGTTTCTCATGTGGCTGGATGTGCCATGTCGATTTGAGTCTGAAAGATCAGAAATCCCTTTCAGATAGGGAACCATTTCTCTTGATAGCTCTCAGAGTGTTGCTGTCTAACTCCAAAAGCGCTGGCCAGGGTTGATTTATACTTTCAAAGGATTTCAAGGGGAAATGCGCGTGCCATGTCCGGATGATGAAATGCATCAAAATGCATCACAGCTTTAGCAGCACCCACAGATCGTCCCCTGGTGCAGGTTGCATCGAGAAATGGCTTGGAGTGAGCACCAATTGCCCCGTGTGCAACAAAATCTTGGAATGATCGAAGTGCGTGGTTTTTGTGTGCGTGGCTATCATGATTCAACTATCAAATGGTTTTCATGAATCAAATGTGGCACCAACATGCACTAGCCAACGCCTACAGAATGACGCCTACAGAATGTGCATAGATTTCAAGGTTCAGTGAAGACCTGCCGTGCCCAAGGAAACCATGTTTTTCTGAATGGCTTGATGGCCTCAGTGGCCATGTCTTCACTGAGCTGGGACGCTGGCATCCTGAAGGGAGATCAGCCGGCGCTTTCGGAAAAGCAGCGCGGGAAGGATACGGGATGCGCATTGGAGATGACAATTACACTCTTCCCCCGGGGAAAAAGAAGCTGTCGATCATTGCAATGGGTTTGCATTGGAAGCTCTAACTCATTGCAAAACAATTTGAACCTGTAGTGAACTCCAAACCAAAGTGACGCAAGATAAATCATGAAGCTGTCCCTTACTTGATATCATCTGTTAGTATCCATTCATCACTTTCCGTTTTACATTCATTGCAAGTGCAACCTCAACTGTGACTTTTGCAGTGTCACTTAGGCGCAATGGCCCGTTGCCCACTGGAAATTGGGAGGATAGCCAAGAGAAGCTTCGGCAGGAGCCGACATATGGAGAGCTGATGAATTCATGATTGACATCTCTATCCCATGACACCTAATTTGAGGAAAATGGTTTTGGCAGATGTAAATGGCAATCCTATGGGCATTGTTGAGTGCAGGTCACTTTAGGGTAAACTGTTTTGTGTTGCTCCAAACTGGCCAGCATCCATCAGGGTGCCATGGTTGTGAAATCTCTCAAATTTGAAGCTGCATGGCGTTTTCTTCTCGTATGAAGCTAACCAAATGGTGGGATCGATAGGTACACAATGTCTCCTTCCGTCGCCTCAATGGGCTTGGTGAAGCAGCACAGGAATGGTATGAGAAGCTGGCGGCTGGGGTAGACGACAACGACCGGCCACGTCGGGGCAAGGTAGCGTCGGTGTTGAAAGGATGCATCAGTTGGGGTTCGGGTCAGAGCTTTGCAATGATGCTTGCAAAAATGTGATACTGATTATGATTCTGGTCAGGATCTTAGACCTTGAGACCCTCATGTGTGTTCTGAGTGTTCTGGCTGTTTGTGAAATTGTTCGTTTATGTCATGGGCCGTCTTTGCAGGCATCTTTGCGGGGAGCCGCTGGGTGCGGAACCCCACCTGAGATGATGGAGTTCCCCCGGTGGTAGGTGGCCACATCTGCAAGATCCCAAACTCAGATTTGGTGGGCTAGTGCAACATGATCCGTCCTCCCATCTGCCATGCCTCGGTGCAGCCTGAAGGATCCATTTTTGGGGTATCCACTGACCCAGGTCGCTGCGCCGTCCTGGGGCATCCTTGCGAAATACCGCCTCGGCATCAGGGTCAGCAGCCAACAGCCAAATGGGAAGCAGCTCGGCCTTGGGGTCTTGGGGCTTGCACTTGTTTCTGACAAGAATCTCCAAGTCTTTGTTGAAATCTTCATGATTCAGCCGCGAGCTGAATAAGACGTAGCTTGCTTGATGATAGTATGGATGGCAGGAGCTAGCTCAGTGGGATTTTATGTAACCAACCTCGAAAAAGCAGGGCCAGTTGGAGGGACATACAGAGGACAGTTGCATCTTGCCAATTTCTTGCCACTTGGGCCCCGAATCAGGGTTCTTGTGGGTCAATGTGAATCCTTTCGCTGCCGATCCCAGGCCTGGCTCCTTCACGAGCTTCGCAATCTCCTGTGATGTCGCCCAGGACTGCCAAGTGTTTTTAGTAGCTGCCAGGCTGCCAGCAATGATTCTATCACATTTTTTTTAATAAGCTTGCCCTGAAACATCTGCAATAGCATTGTGTAGAGAGCATTTGTCCAAATCTCAATAGGTTCCAGCACTACTGACTTGGTTCCAGCCATTATCATATTACTTTGAGATGAACCATTTTCATTTTGTATGATATGAAAAAAGCCGATGGAACCCTTAAGGATCCATTAGAGACTTCTCCCCCACCTCTTGCTCATGGCCTCGCCGTGGTTTACGAAAATGTGGGCCAGCTCAAATAATGTGAATGGTCACCTGCATCGGGCGAAGACAGGAAGGTCTGTGAAGCTTGCTATTGCTTTCTGGCTTCAAGTCGCTTCTCTTTTGGGCCCCGTCTTGGTTTGAATCCCTTTTCCATTCTCATGAGGCAGCAGTTTTCTTATGGGCTTTTTGTTTTTGGTGTTTTTTTTTGGGCATTGTTCAAATCTTAAGCCCACGCAGGCAGAGTGGTGACACCGAAGGTGACGCACCCTCCGGCGGCACGTTGCCGCCTCCACCTCCCCCGCGGAAATCGCAGCGTGGCCCCGGACCGGGGCCACCATTGCCCGGCTTGGGACCCGGCCCAGCCCCAGCCGGCATGGCTGGTGCGCCGGGGTCAAAGTTAAAGCCGAACTGGGCATTCTGATGAGTCAATCATGAGCTTTCTAAGGCAAATTCACATGAGCAACAACTGCATGGATGATGTTCCATCTCTTCTTTGCAAAAGGAAGTGCCCAGGATCAAGTCGGTTTGTCATACCCATGACAGACTTGGAGTTTGGCAGAACGTCTGCTAATGCAGCGGTTTGCTATCTACAAAATAAATTTCCATGAGAAAAGATTACATGTCATGTCCAAAATTAAAGGACCGGATAACCCCACAAGTCAACTTCTTCCAATATTGATCAACACATGTTGTAGCGGGGATGGGGAAGGAAGGAAAGACAAAGGAGGTGGTGGAGGATCGAGAAGTAAGACAAGTTGTATGTGAAGAGTTGTGTGTGTGTGACAAAGTTGCATGTGAAAGATGGTGCGTTGCAAAGAAAGATGGTGCGCAAAGACCAACAAGACCCAGCCTCGCCCTTTTGCACGAAGCAAATGAAAAGCATCACTGTGCGATGCAATCGGCTCTACAGCAATCTCGCAATCTCCACACGCAAGTGTCACACGCGAAAGTCACAAGCATTGCCAAGTCCCCAACGTCACCAAAAATTTTAACATGACAATGAAAATGAAACGTCGCACGTTGCATCAACCCATGCTCTAAAGCGTGTAAACAACATTATCTCCAAACAGAAAAGACTTGACAACACTGCACGGCCGAAGCTACTGTGCACTCCTTGCTGGCGAAGCTTTTTTTGTCACGGCAACAGATGGTTCTTCACACATACACAAAGAGATGTACAAGCAACAACATATCAAGCAGAAACGAACGTGGATGTCACCAAGGGCCACGCCTGCCACGGGCGACCGAAGCACGCCCAAGCGCGCCACCAGACCCAGCCCAGTGCCCCAAGCGCCACGCCTGCCACGCGAAACGAAGGTGGATGTCACCAAGCGCCATGCCTGCCGCGCAAAACGAAGGTGGATGTCGCCAAGTGCCACGCCTGCCACGCAAAGTGGCGCGGCGCCCCGGGCGACCAAAACGCGCCCAAGCGCGCCACCAGAGCAGGTGGATGTCACCAAGTGCCACGCCTGCCACGCGAAACGAAGGTGGATGTCACCAAGCGCCATGCCTGCCACGCAAAACGAAGGTGGATGTCGCCAAGTGCCACGCCTGCCACGCAAAATGGTGCGGCGCCCCGGGCGACCAAAGCGCGCCCAAGCGCGCCACCAGAGCAGGTGGATGTCACCAAGTTCCACGCTTGCCACGCAAAACGAAGGTGGATGTCACCAAGTGCCAGGCCTGCCACGCAAAAGGAAGCTGGATGTCGCCAAGTGCCACGCCTCCCACGAAGTTGGTGTGTGGAAGATGGTGTGGGACAAAGATGGTGTGTGAAAGATGATGTGTGATAAAGTTGGTCTGTGAAAGATGGTGTGTGACAAAGTTGTGTGAAAGTTGGTGTGTGAAAGATGGTGTGTGACAAAGTTGGTGTGTGACAAAGTTGGTGTGTGACAAAGCTGGTGTGTGAAAGATGGTGTGTGGCAAAGTTGTGTGAATGAGATGGTGTGTGACAAAGTTGGTGTGTGAAAGATGGTGTGAGTAAGATGGTGTGTGTGAGATGGTGTGTGAGCGCGATGGTGTGTGAAGAAAGATGGTGCGGTGGAGGCGGCGGAGGCGGCGGAGGCGGGATACAGAATCAAAAACAACCCGCCCGACCGGAAACCGTGCGTGGCGGCGTTGACATTTGTGAATCAGCTCTTTGATACAAAATGCTTCAAACGTGCGGCTTTGGCATACTTCAATTCTTTTTTTGGGCTCTTTTTCGTGGCAATTCCATGGGGTAATTTGTTTTTATCGTTTCGTGCTGGTGAAATGCTGTTTTTTCTGTTTTGTAAGAAAAAACAATAGGGGCGGCAATGAGTGCTTGCGAGTCATTTTCCCACGCCTGCCAGTCGAAATCGGTATACGGCTCAGCTAAGCAACGCTTTCTGTACAGCTTTGGCTGTTTTGTACAGCATGACGTTACGCAGGATTTTGTACAGCAGTGATGTTAGAAGAGCCAACAGCGTAGTTGCAAGTGATGTTAGAAGAGCCAACAACGTAGTTGCAAGTTGAAGACGAAGAAGAAGAAGAAAAAGAAGAAGAAGAAGAAGATAATCACACAGTTGCAAGTGATGTTAGAAGACAAAACGTTAATACCCCTCCCCACCCCACCCCATGAACATCATTAGAGAAGTTAGAAACGTACTGGAAAGTTCTAAGTGGACAGAACGTTAATACCCCTCCCCACCCCACCCCACCCCATGAACGTCATTAGAGAAGTTAGAAACGTACTGGAAAGTTCTAAGTGGACAGAACGTTAATACCCCTCCCCACCCCACCCCACCCCATGAACGTCAGTAGAGAAGTGAAGCACGGTTTTCGGTAAGATGACGAAAAGTAAAAATGTGCGTCACTACACGTTCGGTTTTCGGTCCCCCAGCAAAAACGGCAAAAACAAGAACCCCACACAAAGATGGGGGGGAAAAAACACAAGACCAACCAACGAAACCGAATGCAGTCGTGAAGCAAGTTATTTCAACAGTCTTATAGACTCTTCCCGTGTGATCCTACCTGTAGACTGTGGAATATGGAATGGGGTGGGTGGGGTCCCAAGTGCAGTGTGACGATAGTGGAGTGTGCAGTGGGGAATGTAATGTGTAGAGTGTGCAGTGGGGATTGTGGAGTGTAAAGTGTGGAGTGTAAAGGGTACAGTGTAGAGTGCGCAGTGTAAAGTGTAGAGTGTCAAGTGAAAAGTGTAGAGTGCGGAGTGTAAAGTGTAGAGTGTGGCTTCTAAAGTGCAAAGTGTGGAGTGCAAAGAGTAAAGTGAAGAGTGTAAAGTGTAAAGTGTGCATTGTGGAGTGTAGTTTAAAGTGTAAAGTGTAGATGGTGGAGTGTAAAGTGTAAAATGTAAAGTGTAGAGCGCGAAGTGTAGAGTGTAAAGTGTAGAGTGCGGAGTGTAAAGTGTGGAGTGTAAATAAAGTGTAAAGCGTAAAGTGTGGAGTGTCAATTGTAGAGTGTGGCGTGCAAAGTGTAAAAGTGCAAAGTGTAAAGTGCAATGTAGACTGTGGAGTGTAAAGTGTAAGGTGTAGAGTGGAGTGTGAAGTTTAAAGTGTGGAGTGTAAAGTGCAGATTGTAGAGTGTGGATTGTGGACGTGGAATGTCGACTGCGCAGTGTAAAGTGTGAATCGAGGAGTGGAGAATGTGGAGAGGACTGTCAAATGAAGGTATGGAAGGACGAAGGCAACATCAAACATCGCACAGCCATGCCAATGTGGAAAGCAGCAATTGCAATCACGAAAGTGGTCCAAACATTGCGGCTGCCACGCAAAATGACACTCTCACAATGCCCCACTCCAGCCACGCAATTTGCATGTTGTTACCTCTTGACGCAGCCCTAAGCATGCGATTTGCACAGAACACGCAGCACAAAACAAACGTCTCATGTGCTGCGCCTGCCGCGCAAAATTAACATCGAAGTCTCCAAAGCGTTGCGCCTGCCACGAAAAATGGAATTCATTTTCTGGAAACTTTGCAAAAGCATTGCGTCTGTCACAGAAAATGACTTGCGACATTTGTTCAGAGACTCACGAAGTGCCACGCCTGCCACACGAAACGAGGTTACGCGACGTTTGAAACCCCCAAAAGTGCAGCAGCCGCTGTCCTCTTCAAGATCTTCTCACAAGGACCTGCACAAGATCATGCAAAAGCCTCTGACAACAGTAATAGGAAAAGCAGCATGATGGCCGTATTTTCGACCTTCGAAGTGCGACTTTTCACAAGAATTTCTGTTGAAAATGCAGCAGACCAAGACCGGGACAACCCTGCGGCGCACACTTGCGCGAGCCTGCACAATCGAAATGCACATGGACATCTCCCAAGAGCAGTTTTCTGCCACAATTAAAGGAAAAATGCCGCGCCCCAGAGGCTTACACTTTGCGCGACTGCGAGCTTGTGCAATCGAAATGCACACAAACACCTCACAAGAGAAGTCCCATGCGAGAATTTACAGGAAAAATGCCGCGCCCCAGAACTTAGGCTTACATTTTGCGCGGGCATGGATGTCTCACCACAGAAATTCATTGCGAAAATTTACAGGGAAAATGCCACGCCCCAGAACTTAGGCCTACACTTTGTGCGAGCCTGCGCAATCGAAATGCACATAGACATATCACAAGCATGCGAGAATTTGCAAGAAAAATACCGCGGCCCATGATCAGAACAACCCCTACGGCGCAGACTTTTTGCCAGCTTGCGCAGGCGAAATGCACATGGACATCGCACAAAGCCACTTTTAGGCGAGAATTTAGGGTAAAAATTGCGCGCTGCAGAGAGCGTACCCTGATCTAACCCCGGCCTCATCAGGTTTAAAGGGAATAGGGAATATATAACTTGTAAAAACTCCTGCAGTAAAACCATGTATTGTATATATCATCGTACTACTCTGAAGCGTTGGTTCAAAACAGGATCAAGAGCTTAGCGGCTTAGTGTGTTTTGTATAGCATTTTACCCCATTATCGGTTGACCTGGTAAAATACAGGTTATCAGCCGTAGTCTCACTACTTTGCTATGGGGACCCCAACCGACCTTCCTCTCGCCGTTCCAGGGTCAGGTCCATCGGCCATCGCCGTGCCCAGTGTGGCCGGGGGCAACCCCGAGCCGATGGATGAAGAGACAATGTTCCAAACCGTTGTAGCGTACTTTACTTTCATACAAAACAACCTGTCCCAGATTACTAGTGGGAATACCCTGCAAGTCATGAGGGAAGCTGAACAGAGGCACCTTCAGATAATGCATGGAGTAGTTGACTCAATTCGAAACGAATGGTCAAGTAGACTCGTAATGCAAGAGCAGGAGTATGAGCAAAGGTTGCAGGATGTTGAAAGTAAGGCCATTAGTGCCGTCAACGAGGAAAGGAAGAGAGGCGATGAGTTAGAGGTCAGGTTAAATCAGGCTCAGGCATCGCATGACAAAAGAGTAGAGGATTTCAAGGCAGAGGCAAAC